ATATTTTGACGAGTACCTGATTTCACCAAGATCCCTCATATAAGTACTGAAGATTAGAGGTGTTACAAGAAAGTAACATACCCGAAAAAGGAGACATGGATTGTAGATGTTTGATAGGAAAGAAGGAGCAAACCACACTAGACTTTCGTTTTAGTAAGAGTTATACAGTGCTCGCAACTGCATAAGGTCATATGAGCACGCGAAACAGAAGATTAGAGGTGTTACAAGAGAGTAACAAACACAAAAAAGGAGGAGAAGGACGATACCTTTCGATAGGAAAAAAAAAAAGAAAACCACACCAGAGTATCCGCCAACCACCCATGTCCGTGTCACTGGCCCCTTCCATCCTCAAATTTACATACAACACACGCTGAGAGACAACAGCCACAAACTGTCGGACATGGAAAGAATTTAAAGTGGTTAAAAGAAAAAAAAAACCCATTTTGTTTCAGACCACCCTGGCTGGACACAAAACCTAAAAAGAAAAAAGAAAAAAAACTGGAAATGAGGAAGCAATGGCATTTATTTACAACACTAAATTTACAGTCAAAATGACATTGTGCAAATGCAATCCATTTCATCAAACATCTTGATCCTCTGGAACAAAATTCACTTTCATTCCTTCATCATTTGCACATACCATACATAAGACACCATTCATTTTACCCACACAACTATACACTCAGACAGACTGATATATCTCAAATGCCAACAAAATGTCCCCTGAAGCTATATATTTCAGTGTTACCAAAAAAAACCTCAGGATTAAACATCCAATACCAACCATTTTTTAAAAACCAAAACAAAAGCAGCACTCCTTTTTATTCACCTTGCCCAGGAACAGCTATATAGTTCTGAAATTAAGAGTTCAAACATATGAATCCTTTGGAAATTATAAAACAAAACAAAAATCAAATCAACCACACATTGCAGGTTTGTGGCACATCCGACACGCGACTTACTTCTGTCATTAACAGAAATACCGGAGATATGATGGTCAAGTACTAACACTGCAGTTTCAGCCCAAAATTTTAAAAAAAGGTAGGAAAACAAAATAATCTTTCAACGCTTTGTGGTCACTGATGTTTCTTTTCTATCAGCTTTGAGGCAACTCTGCCGTCGTAAGGGAAAACGCCGAATGGTCAAAATTTTCCTATTTTTTAATTTTTATAAATTATATATTTCATACAGTATTTAATTCTGCATCTGATGGTGTAAAAATTTTTGTTATATCCTAATCCGTTGTTGCGTAATTGAGAGTTCGTCGTTTTCCCTTACACTGGCAAGCTCCGAGCCAGAGCTCAGTGTAAGGGAGAACAACGAATGGTCGGTCGGTCAAGAATCACTGCTCGTTCGGCGTTGTCCCCTTGTCTCTGCCATTGGGCAAATTCGGCATGGGCGACGAATAACAACTGGTCACTGTTGCGTCAGTACAAAAATACTAGGTTTTTTGCAAACAAATACACCACCACTCCCTCCCCCGGAGTACCATCGACCAGGTTTATAAGAATGTATCACTTAGTGTCTCTCTGTCTGTCTTCACGTAGTAGGCCTATGCTGATGTGTGAATTGACAAGAGCAGGCGGGAGAGAGGGGAAAACGGATGGGAACGGGGGGAAACGGGTGGGGATGGGAGGGTCAAAAAAGTATTTAGGGAATAATTTATTAGCACTGCATATTAGTGTCCGCCAGATGTTCACAGACTAATGTCATGTTAGTTTGCTGTCCAGCCATTTGACATCCCAAATCCCAACGCAGGTTATAGTGCCGCAATTTGTCTAGCTCGTGGCACTGGTCGACATCATTATAAAATTAAAAAGCAATCAATACCACTGCCTTATGAGAGTAAATTTCTTTGTCCAACTTAAAAAGTGGAGGTACTGTGGCGACACTTAGTCTTGCTTTACGATTTTTTATGACTTGATGACCGTTATGATCGAGTATAATAATGTCTTGTAGATTCAAACTGTCCTTGTCGATCTCTACTTTGTGGCATGTTTTCCGATCCGATCAACTGAATCCTTTGTTAAGTACAAAGCGTCGCATTACCTCTCCGGAAAGCGTTCGTGATACAGTCTTGTCAGATTGTTACATTTCTTACGTGAAAGTTTGACTTTGCAATGATCTGATCGTATTATTGACATTGTAACATCGTTGAACCCTTTGGTCGTGCAGGGAAAAAGTTGCAATTAGCGAAAATAAAAGTACAACTCGCTTCTTAAGAGAATACAATAAAGAGATATCATGGAGACCAAACTTTGGTTCCGATTGAGACAGTTTTAAATCAGGCTGTTGAAAATGTGTACACATCTATTTGTACACTGGCTGTAGTATTTAATCAAGCGAGAAAGGGAAATGAAGGACGTTTACCGAGTTACAGTTGGAATATAACAAACACCTAACTTTATAGGTATAATAGCTAGTTTGTATACGTCTTATTTTTATTTGTAGTAACCAGTGCACAGTTATTACTGTCATTAATGCGTCACAACTGGCCATCGCCTACGCCCATAAACGTTCATGAGTGTAAAGGAGAACAACGAACCGTACCATTCGTCGTTTTCGTTTACATCGCAGGGCTCACCTGGGGTGGGCAATGTAAGGGAGAACGACGAATGTCGAATAACTTTGCTACTTTTTAGCCTAAAACATTCAAACTTTAGAAACTGCTTTATGAACACCTTAATCAGATATCAGGAGAATTACAACTTAAAAGAATGAAAAAATAGAAGAGTTATAACGTGAAAACAGTTTTTGCCTCTCCTGAAAAATTTGCCTCGCTGCCTGCGCAGGACCATTCGTCGTTTTCCCTTACGACGGCAGAACTATCCTCAACTACAAGGGTCTCAACAACGTAAATTCGAATGTCTATTCCACCAAATTGCAAATTATAAACTTTGAAGCAATCAAACCATTAGCTCTTTTAGAGAACAAACATTCATCTGAAAACAAAACATTATTACCTTCATTGCTAAAATAACAAGAAATTTGTCCTAGCCAAATAACATTCAAAACTATATTTACAAAGGAAAAACTTCTTCTAGGAGAAATTTTCTCCCCTTGATTGAAACAACAACACAGACTAGGCTTGGTCATTGATATTACATTTCGCAGAACATGAAGAAAACTGTCAACATTTCAGATCTTAATTCAATCAGTCGGTCGTAGCCCATCATCACCACATGGTCCTAGCTAGCGCACTCATTCACCAACACATCGCACTTCATACAGGAGGCCACGACATTTTCCAAACTTTCACTCACAAGAACAAACAAAACCACACAATATGTTCAGCACCATAACAAATTTAAGACATCCCGTATGTGAGCTCAGTGAAATGAAAAAGTATGTACTTGTGTTTCAGAGAAGCAGTCACATGACCCGACTTCCATGGTGAACGATGAACTTTGAACATTGCAAGGAGCACAAAACTAAAACCTGTCAAAGAATCACAAATAATTATCTCTACCCCCACCCTCCCAACCTCCTCTCCCCAACAATAACCAAGAGATAATAATATGAACGAACTATTAGTAACAAAGCTCTAGCACCACTGAAATAAAAACTTTACAGCCCAAACTCCTAGTTCAATCAAAGACATTATCCTGAACAGAAATGCAGACAATACATTCTATACAGCTACTCCTATTTGCAAAATTAGTTCCTTCACAAAAACTGGGTAGATACTGCTTGCTGAAGTAGCATTAGAATACTGCTTGGAATGGTGAAATTGAACATGTTTTATGGCATTTCAGTGACATAAAAACACACAGTACAACCTGTATGCACACTGCATTGATGCCTTCACACACATGTGTAAAAAGCTTTGCAAAATCTTTTATGCTCCCCCCCTTGAAAACTTAAAACTTCAGCGACATGAATGTAATATAGATTGGAGATAATATTTTTAATAACATCTTTCTAGAGACCATCAAGCAAAAACAAAACAAAAAAAGAACAAAAGATTGTGCAGGTAAACAGCCTGTTCCAAATGCTATAATACCGCGTCCCACTTAAAACAAACAAGAGCAGTAACTGTAGTACTCGCGCTAATCAAATGAAAAAACAGTAAAAGACAAAGTCAAATGCGAAGCATTTCCTGAGCTTGACATTGATGTGCACTGATTTTACACAAACAGAATACACCAGACTATGACAGTTCAACATCAGTGATACCTTGAAATCAAAAGAAAAACAATAACACAAAATTAGTTACTCCTCACATTTTCACCCCAAAACCGCTACAGGGACCAAATGAAAAGACTTTACAAGCTTTCAGTGTCTGTGATCCCATTTACAAGTCCAGCTTGGCTGAATTATGAATTATTTAGTGACAGTTGTTATCCATCAAGATTCTGGGAACCGATTTGAAAAGATTCCGAAATAAAAGGTTGGAAAAGAACAAGTTTCAGAAAATCAAGGACAAACTCTGCAGAGAAACACCAGAACATTCATGTTTACACACAACAAAGACACAAGTGCTTACATTGTCATCACAGAGTCCATAAAGCACATTTTAGACAAATTATAATGATTATCTTGACATGCGATCTTGCTCAACATATTCCATTTAATGCGAGGAGAAGTAAAGCTGGGGAGTACCGACAAAACCCAGTGTCGGTACTTTCGAGAACCACCAGTACCGGTACTGGGAGTGACACCAGGAGGTGACGTCACAGATCGTGCTTCTTGCCACGATCAGCGCCGCCTGCATTCCCCCTCCTGGCCCCCTCACACACATGTCAGAATTGGAGAGGCGAACTGTGACGCAAAATACCTTTGAAGTTTGCCGCCGCGTGGGATTAAACTTTGCATGCGCAGTTTTAAAAATAATTATATCCGCTAAAAATTGATTTCATTTTGGGAATCAGCGTATTAAAGTAAGCAAAGTGGCTTGCTTGAAACTTGATTTGATGCCATATTTAAATTTAAGCTAACTTTGTTTTTGATTGTCAATTTTTAATCTGAAGTAATGTATCAAGGTCACCCGCTGCGTTGTGCATCTGACATCACAGCTGCTAGGCCTAGGCCTACACACTGCACACTTCCCGTGGCCCAGTAAAAAAAACCCACTGGTGTCAGCCCCTTCCCAGAGCCGGTACTGGAGGCCTGGTACCGGTACTGACACATCCTCCGGTAAAACCGGGAGTTCTGGTACAGGGTACCGGTACCTGCCCATCCCTTGTGAGAAGTACCTCACTTGGTGTGCTGCCTCACATACATGTCATAAACAATGTAGTGTCCACGACGTTAAGAATGGTGCAGCTCATTTGGGAATCCAAACAACCTGGCTATGACCAGGACAAACAAGGTAATCATACTTTAAAAACTGATGCTTTAACAGATAACGACATTTAAAGTCAAAACTGAGCCAGACGACCACAATGAGAAATAAAACATGCAGTAAAAAAAAAACATTAAAAAAAAAAAAAATCCCCGATAAAAACAACAAAAAGATGAGTGCCCAGAAAGCTGGGGTCAGCGGCGCTCTCTTTGATGTCTGCTGCCCCTCTCCCTGTCACGATCCTTTTCTCTGTCGTGGTCTCGTCGGTCGTACTCTCGTTCGCTGCGGTGGTCACGTTCACCTCTGTGCTCACGTTCACGATCTCTGTCCCGGTCTCGCTCACGTCCCCTCTCATGGTCCCTGTGGCTGCTGCGGTCATCCCGGCTTCGCTTGCTGGAAGCGAGCCCGTGGGTGGTGCGCCGCAAAAAGTCGTCCACATCCCGCTCATACTGTGAACATACATCAAAAGCACTCTAAAACACAAAGATCCAGGGCCTCAGTTTCAGTTTTGAGGAAAGAGGTGCACATCTCAGTTTTGAGTTTTTCAGGAAAGAGGTGCACATCTACACAAAACCGTCAATATGTCCCCCCCCCAAAAAAAAGCAAGATGGAAACAACAAATGGAAAGTAAAGAAGCAAAATGGTCATCCATTGAAATGAAACCTTGGACAATTAATAGTTTAGCACTGAATATATAATAAATTCAATCAAAGAACTTGTATTATCGAGTCATGAAAACAAAAAAATCAAGCTAATTCGTGTATCCTGACTTTTGGGAACTCCAGAAAAAATGTAACAGCCAACAAGCCTGTGTGATTCAAGCAACCTTTACTACAACCTACCGATCTTTTGCTGCTGACTTCTGCATTTCGCGGGGCTGAGTGCACACCGTAATCGGAAGGAGCCATGGAGTAACCGCCCCGGGAAGGCCTCTCAAACTGAGCAGCATAGCCTGCTTGCTCAAAGAAACCGGGAGGCTGAAAAGAAAAAAGAACAACAATCAAATAAAGTTAAAAACAAAGGATTTGGGCAACTGTTAAGGACAGAGCTCAAGCATAATAACAACCACTACTGCCCCCAGGTTTGCTCCTGCCTCAAAAGCTTCAAAGAGCTAAGAGAACGAGCAACCAAAATCCAATAAGTTTTAACTCTTTTCCTACCAGGCCAAAATCCAAAACAGGCCCACGGCTTTTCCCTGACCTATTTTTACGCCATTTACCCCACCACATGAAAATGTCAAAACATCCAGCTAAACACACACAAACTATATCATATGGCCCATCAAACTGAAGGTTAAAAAAAAATCTATCAGATGGTGATACAATATTGAAGATTTATTCCAATTATATTAGTTTGGGGTTTCTAAAAGTGATTATGCAATATCGAAGGTGTCATATAAAATCAACAATGTTCCAGCTTTGAAAGGTCGTATCTAAAAAAGTACAACAACAGCATCATTTTAATTTCCCGGGTAGGTTGCCTCAAGTAATGAAAAGAAATGCTGAAAGTTATGTATGTGTACTTAGAGAAATGAAAATATGAGACATATACTGAAGTCAGGAGAGCGCTTTTCTTCTCATTTTTACGTTTTGAAGGGGACAAAAAAAAAGCGCTGAAATGACTAAAAATGTCTCTCAGTGCTATATTTTCTTTCGTATCTGTTAAGAGGAAGTCTATTCTATTATTTTGAAAACTTGGATCGGCCGAGAATTTCATTACTGGATTGGAATAGATAGCGAGCCACTCGAGCCGTATTTTGCGGCTCTCAGTCCAGCGAGGCCAGGTGCGCGAGCAGCAAGTAGGGAAGGTGTTAAAAAGTATCATTTTTATTGACCTTGAGGGGAAATGTGGGATGCAATGGCAATACATACACAATAATTCACAGTCACATAGTCTGTATGATCATGAATAATTTCGGTGGCTTCAACCTTTCCATTGCTTTTAAGAAGAAACCGCACCTTAAATCTCAAAATTTTAATGAAGGTAGCATTCAATATTCCTAAGAACATGACATAGTCAGATTTTCGTGATTTTAAACTTAAGAATAATTAAATTGTAAATTCTGACCGTATCAATATAAAATGCTCCGTATTTGAGCCATCAGCTTCCTATTCCACTTCTTAAAAATGTGAGCGACTGCTGTTCAGTAGGTTCAAAGTTGCATGGGAACCTTAAGTGTACCTGACTTACTGGTGATGCTATACACTATATAACTGATGGTAGCACAGAGTTATTGCACTGAATTCAAGTGAATCTTGTATACTAAAATATCACACCAACATACACTATCTAACTAAAACGCCATTGGTAGTCATTAGTGTGCAGCATTCTGTTTTTCAACGGATTACTCAGGTCAAACTATGGCATACTATAAATTCCTCTCTCACTCATTCGCTTCTTCAAACTACATGTACAAACAATAGTTGAACACTGTTTAAAAAAGTAAATATATATGTACTTACTGGTATTGAGTAAAACTTTTTGTAGAAACTGTTCCCATTTTGCACAATGCACCCTCTATTACTCCTCCATAAAAAAAATGAAGTGTTTTTCATTCTTTCACTATACAATTAACATATGTCCACAAAAACGAGACAAAAGGAATAAACTTACAGGTCCAAACTGTGCCATGGGGTGAGGTGGAGGAGGCCTTTGATTGAATTCCCGCATGTAGTCAGAGTAGGACTGAGGAAAAAGAAGAACAAAAAAAAAACTGAAACACAAGTTTGCAGAAAAACAACAGACCAGGAACAACTTGTAAAATTTGATCAGGCATCATAAATCAAAATCTTAACTTTGTGGAACATTTGTCGCAAGCAAAAGTATGGTTTATCAATAATAAAAAGGCTACACTTAACATTATTTCTTTTTTTTTTATGGTTCTCCATTCATTCCTTTGCTCGGATGCTCTTAACTCACTTCAGACTGGGCCCTTTCACCAGTCACAAGCGTTGAAGACTGGCATTTTTCTGAGTATTTCAATAAATCACCACAACTCTCAGAATTACCCTATTGTAATTATTTTTTGACACAGTAAAGTAACATTCAAGCTTAATCTAACACAAAAAAACTAAAGTTGTCTAAGTCTAATACTTTAATTTATATATGACTTTTTAAAAATTGGCATGAATTTAATTTTCCGAAAAATTTCCACAGACATGACAGGTAGGATGAAATTCACAACAACAACAAAAATAAAAGTTCAAAGTGTTGTATCTTGATTTGTATGCATGTGTGAGTGTTTCGTGAAAGTATAAAAGCTGGTCTGTGCGTTGATTCAGACCCATGCACTGAATTACATAAGACAGATGTACGGCACGACGTTGTGATTTCGCTGCGCGAAAAACAACACCAGTACTAGTGCTAGATCTAGCCCTAAAACTACGACTCGGGCCGTGTTCGGGTACATATCCAGGATCCTAACTATCAGACACATCATATTCTGAGACATTAGAACTAGTAAAACGTACATAAGTATAGAAAATGGCGAAATTATGTGATTCTTGTTCATGCGACTTTTTTGACCGTTACTACGACGCGACTGTCGGATTACTATCAGCTGTATAGAAAAAAACAAAGCGCGAGTTCCGGTCAGTTCAACCCCAGTTGGGGTCACTGTCCTTCACCTTCAATAACTTAAAAACTACAGGTCCCAGAGATACGAAACGAAGTCTAAGTAGCTCAGGCTTGGCCAAACAAGGGTATGAGGCGGGTCCCGCGATCCGTGCGTGATTTGTAGAACGAAAAAAAAAATATCCAAAGTTGGTCACGCAGGGCTCGTGGGAGCCAGTCGCGGCGAGGGTCCCGCAACTATTGTGTGAACCGTCTGAAGTGAGTTAAAAAAAGCTACGATTCCCTGATCTTTCACCATAAACCATTTATTTAGGTTCCCCAAGTAGGTTGCTCTGGGCCTACCCCTGCCACGTTGGCCTTCGATTTTGTCAGTGAGAGCTAGATGTTAAAGACCGTTATGTCTATTCAGGTGTCCCAAAAACTGCATTTGTCGTTTCCTGATTGTTTTGAACAGTGAGCGTCCCACATGGGCTTCAACAAGCATTATTGAAACTTGCCTTAGCCATTAATTGCAATTCTCCTTTTTATTTCTGTAGAACATTTGGCATCAGAGATTATAATATACCCTAGATATTTTTTTAACTGCTGGACATGTTTGATCTTTTCACCTTTGCTAATGAGATTACAAATAGGATTTGCTGCCTTCTTGGAAATTACCATGAATTCTGTTTTCTTTTCAGTCAACAACAGTCCTTTACATTCACTTTCTGTTACAACAGTATCTAAAAGCAATTGACGGTCCTTTTCTCACAGAGGCATACACAGATCATATAATTGACCTACCCCGTTTAGAAATGTTTCTCTTCTCACACCAGCATATCTTGGAGGCCTGTAAAGAGAAAAGATGACAAAAAATGAGCAACGTAAAAATTTGAATATTTTTTTAACAAGAACATGTACCCCATACACCAAACTTTCAAAATTTGTCACATTTCAAAAATCTTTAATGAGCTGTTTTCTTATTTGATCAAACTGCTTCCCCCTGGCTGGTTCACAAGGTGTTAAAGTTTGGTGGGACGTTTTATCAGCCAATGACATCCTGTTACACATTTTTTTTAAAGGGTTCTTGTGTACTTTATCCTGACAATGCATCATAAAATTTTATTTATGTTTTACACATTTCTTAAAGGGTTTTTGTTTACGTTATCCTGACTATGCATAAAAAAATTTTATGTTAAGAGTATTAAAAGTTTGACCCATAAAGCAATTACACCACATATATCAGGTCAGTTACAGGCAACTTGAAGAATAATGGGAAGACAACTTGGTCGAATTTAAAATTGAATAGGGCAGTGCTACTAAAATGAACCTGGGTCAATGAAAATAAATGTTGCAGTTTGCTGCTGAACATAACTTTTTTAATCAACACAGACGTAATGAAAAAGAAATATGCCAACCACTTTGTTTTTCACGAAAACATAGTTATTTTTTAAAAAATTTCTGGAACTCAAAATACAAAAATAACAATCAAAGCAAGGTAACAACTCTTTTAGGTCTCACAGAGAGCAAATCTATACTCCCTTGTAAAATACCAATTTATGAGATTACAAATAATTTCTAGTAAATCCTAGTTTCTATCAACTTTGCCAATATTGAATTCATAGAGGCGACAAAAAAAAAAAAAAAGATTGTGATATAATATTCAGTGTCAACACTGACACACACACAGACCAACATGAAATCAATACTTAACTCGGATGATGTCCTTTTTAAAGAGAAAATGTGACAAAGTTAACATAGGTGGCATATCTACTCGCATTTTTAAAAAAAGTACATAAATGTAAAAAAAAGTCATAAAAAAGAATAGTCACACCTCTGCTGTAACGGCCATATTTCCAAACAACCATCTTTCCCACTTACCCCCTTACGTTTTTTAAATGATGTATTATATATATATATTATTGTAACGACCCTGTGCAAGACATTCCCCTTTCTAAGACAACGACTTTTCTCCTTGACAATGAGTGGCAGTCTTTGACAATTTTGACGAGATATGGAAAGGGATCAACATAAGATCACGGACGACGATCCTCTTCTTTTCAGCAACAAGCAGTCTGAAGCGAAGACATCGACATAGTAAACAACAGGACTTGAAGCCTATGAGCAACATGTTACCTTTCCATCCTTCTCTCTTTGTAGAAAGCTGAAGAAGAAAAAAAAAAAGACATGAATATCATTCTCACCAATCTCAATTCATTCAAATAGTAATAAAAATTCACCAAACTCAATGGGAAAGAGTGTTCAATATAATATTCTTGGCACAGTCTTGGTTCATATTAAGTAATTTGTAAATGTTAATAAGGTTTATAACAGCTTCATTTGAACGGGTTAAAAATTCAGATTGTTTACGAACCATCAAATCCCAGAACTAACTCTAGGCAAATTTCATACTTTTTGTGTGAAATAAAACCTATCAGTCTCAGACTTTTTTCTGCATGTAACAGAAACCATCTCATTAACAAATTATCTTTCTAAAGTGGTTAAGAACCACGAATGCGTCGCATAGGATAACAATGCCAGCATGCTCTCTTAGCTGATAGATAATCACGGTGCACCAAATAGAACCCCATTATCTTTAGAAAGGCTATAGAAACTGCCGACGAGGACAAAGAAAAGACAGAAGCTATAACCTATACGATTAACTTTTCCAGTACTAAAAGCAATTGCCTGTAGGACCGAAAAGTAGGAACACTAGCAGTGGGAACAATTGTGAGACATCGTGGTGAAACCAGGCGCTCGTCAAAATACTGAAATCGAAAAAAACCGGCAATTTTTATTGATTTTTTAATTTTTGGCTCAACATCTTTGTCCATTTAAAAACACATTTCTGTTTGGATTTTGCTGATTAAAGGGACAAAAACTGTTAATTTTCAGTTTTCAATGACTCTCAAACAACGGAAGTCATCAAAATTTGGCAGCCATTTTCTCGCTAATTTTACCTCTGAATCCAGTGACCCCCATCTCCTTCAATTGCAAATATCTCGACTTCTATATATGATAGACGGATACTTTTTTCATTCAAAGTAAGGCAAATGAACAGGCTTTAAGATGATACCAATAACTCCATAGGCCCAAAAATTGAGGAGTGCTTGATTCCACCGCGTCGTGACACAATTTGTCTTACAGTCCTGCAATCTAATGAAAAAAAAAATCTCACAGTCAAAGGCAGCAGGACTTTTGACTTTCCTTCTGTCTCCACTACAAAGAATGTTTGTTCGATAGTAATGAGTATAGAGCACTTGGTATAGTTTAGTTTTAGTAAGAGTTTTAATTTTATGGCACTTGCAACATAATACGTTCATACACGTGCGACAAGCGAGTAACAAACACAAAAAAGAAGGAGTTGTTTGATATTAAAGAAGGAGCAAACCACACCTGACCAGAACATCCTCCAACCACCCACACTTGGATTAGTGGGAAAAGACAGAAGAGTGACGATAACCTCAATGCACACATTGTAGAATCATAGCAGTGTATGAGTGTCAGCTAGAGCAAATCAAAGGTGGTGCACCACTAACTTGTTTGCAACGAGTCGCATTTATAAAAACTCACTACCCATTGGGTTTCAACAAAAAGAAACTCACTCATTAAAAGGTAAACTTACATTCTCTTTCAAAGTTGCCTCGACTGCGTTTTGGTCTTTGGCTTGGATCATCAAAATATTCATCTCTATTTGGGCGACGTCTACGTTTGTGGAAGATAAGCAAATTCCTTGATCATGAAAGGTACTCAGGACAACATAAAGACATTTGCCTTTTCAACATAAAATAATAATCATCCACCTCTGAAAAACAAGGTTTCATTAAGAAGAAAAATAAAAGATTATGACAAAATCTCACATTTCATATTCAGTAATGAGGAGCCAAATTCATTTTGAAGAGGTAGAAAGAGCATCTGCCCATCTTAAATTTGAATGCCACGAAAGAGCATCAATGTCAAGATCATAATTCATCAGTTATTTATGAGAATGTCGAATAAAAACAGAGTTTCTGAACAAGATTCTGGAACCACAACCGTTCTGACTAGTTCTTGTATCCTCCTTTGACATCAAACCACCACCTCCCACAAGACAAGGTTGGTCTCTGTGGCACAGAAAGTAGCGAAAAAGAAGAACAATTCGATAGACAAGATGTCAGTCAGACAGGGAGAAAATGTCCATTTTTTAAAATCACACCTGCTTTCAACCATGCACCCCAGCAGAAAGCCTGGACTTCTCACTTTTCTCCATAAAACAACACATGATAAAGATAGATATTTACAGACTTCCAAAAAAGTTAAGGACCACTTGACAGACAGCCCTGATCAAAAAAAAAAACAACCCACCCCCAAACAAACAACTAAAGCTCTTATTTTAAGACAGCACTCTTCAACTTTCAAAATGCCTTTACTGAAAAAATGTCCACCGCACACCCTAGACAATCTGTATTTTATAAAAGCAATTATTCTGGCAGACAAGTGCCAAATCGTACCTATCACCACAACAAGATCATGGCCATATTTAAAATAAGAAAAAATCCCATTTTAGCAACCCACCTGACAATCACACACTAACCAGCTACTACTACATTGCGCTATGCCTCAAATCCAGGTGCCCAACAAAAAATTTTTTTTAAAGTCCCAGCGCATTATAACAACTATCCAGGGCCAGTTACAGGCTACCTGGATCAATAGCTACAAATCGAGCTGAAATCTTCCTAGAAACCAACTATGTTCTTGTCAGGAAAGAGCCAGCTATTGAGTCAAATCAAAAGCCTTTGGTAACAGCAAACATCAACAATCATCAAAATGTAATTTTTAAATTAATTTTTTTGAGACGATTGACTTCAAAATGTGAATCGTTCTGTTTTGTTTGTGTTTTTGTATGATTTTTACGGCGCTCGCTACTGCATATAAGGTCATATGAGAGTGCAAACAAAAGTCTTAACAAAATCTGTTACTCTCAGACAAGGGGAAGAAATAAACCCCCCCTAATGTTAATCAGACAAGGACAGTGAGCGTGGAAACCCTATATTAAAAAAAAAATGGGGCCAGTAAAAGTTTATTAGAACAGCTTTAACTATCCAATCCTACCTCTCTATGATAAGTGTGGCAGCCCATACAGATTCCCTCAGCCCCTCTTTAACTTAAAATATAAAGTTGCATAGTTGATGTATCCGACAGAGGTAAAGCTAACATTTTATCTGATCATCAATGGAGTAACTTGCTACCACCCATAACGAACAAAACCCAAATTCTCTCGGAATGAAATACAGAAATAGGGAGTCAATATTTCAAAGAACAATTTGTGATCTGTATCATGACAAAAACCAAAAATAGAAATCAGGTGGACACACATTGAGAAAAACGGAACACTAGCATTAACCCACCAAGCCTTTGGAGGGAATCCACAAAGAAAGGGAAAGAGAGGTAGGCGTTAATGTTCCTGGAGGAGAGACGGGTTCAGACCCAATAAAAGAGACGGGATACAGCCGGACAAAGGTGGAAACTACACCTCAGGACGAAGTAGGAGGAATGCTCTTATTGGTGGCCTATACTCCGGTAAACGGTGAGAAAGGATGATGATGATGTCTTCTTGTTTTTTTACAATCTTAATCATCCCATTGGACAAAGTGCTCCAGCTCTCTAGCCCGTGTATACATCTCTATTCTATACTTTCTGCTTCCGTTCAACATAGTCCAGCCGACAATAAACCAATCCTGTCAGCACTTGAAGCTTCAAGTGTTGATTCCCAAGGCAAGTATTACATGATAATTCACAATTGTCAACCACAAAGTGTTCTTGTGGACAATGCAAAGATTTATATAATGTAGCCATCTGCAATGCCCTTTTTATGTAACGGCATAAGTAACAGACATCAACCCAGTACCAAAGTTGTATGATGCCAAAGGACTTGAAATTAAACTACAGAATTTTAAAATTGCTATTTTTTGCCAATAGAAGACAGGCTTTTCCGTTGACAACAATTATTATTCAAGATGTGCTTCAACTTTCAAGACAAAGGCAAACAAACATGCATACATGAACAGTATCACCATAAAGAATACAAAAAGAAGGAATTTTCTGTAGCTTTTTTTTCTGGACATCCAAAAATTCATCTACCTTTTTTTAAAAACTGGTGTCATGTCTTCTTGCTTGTACTGTACAAACACCACTAACATTTTTCCAACCCAAAGCTTTTCTTCACAAACTATTGTTCGTCTCAGGAGGCAAGTATCTAATCACCAACCGTAATGTCACCAAACACAAGCGTCATAGACAAAGCTGAAGGAACAGATGTCAAGGCAAGAGTACTCAAGGGTGTAGACTTTCATACATCTGATGGAAATTAAGAACAGTGTAATGATCTGTAAATTGGAAACAGAAACTTGGTTTAGTTTTAGTAGGTTTTTACTGCACTCACAACTGCATGAGGTCATGTGAGCGCCAGAAGATTAGAGGTGTTACAAGAGAATAACAAACATAAAAAAGAAGGGTAAATAAAGACGATAGAGGTTTGATAGAAAAGAAGAACGCAAACCACACCAGAGCACCCGCCAACCACCCACAAAGAGAAACTTACAAAACAAACTTTTTAAAAGCTGAATCTAAGGCATTTGGTTGTCAGAAGTTGCATGAAGGAACCTAAAAATTCTCTGGCCTGACACCATAAGAACTGAACAACTATGGGAGCAAACAAATCAGCAGAACAAACACAGAAATCAGGGAGAGAAAACGGAAGTGTATTGGACACACCAAGAACACTGAACACTGATGCCAAACATTACCCAACTAGCCTTAAGATGGAATCCATAAGGAAAGAAAAACAGAGGAAGGTTTAAAAGTATTGAGAAGAACGTGTAAAAGTATGTGGAGGCGGGTTTGGACCTAAAGATGGGATACAATTGGACAGAGGTAGAGTCTATAGCCCATAACAGAAGCTAGATAGAGAGCTAGTTGGCCTACATTAGGCTAACAAATACTCTTGCAATGTAAGATGGACCAAATGGGTACTTTTACAATCCTTGGCATTCTGAATGATTTTTATTAAACATAACATCTGCACCTTTCTCATAATAATTTCAAATCTTACTGAACACTGGAAAACTTCCTATCTTATCAACAATACTTTTGCACTGCTCATCAACTAGCTACAAAACAAAAGTGTGTTCTTAAAATATTCATGTTAAATGGATCATCACTAGTAATTATTAAGTAATCAATACTACACACTCTTACCCTTGCATTTCAGTTTTCATTTTATTCAATACTTCCATCAGGAAGATCCATTTACAGGTAGCAATCCTACACACATTTAACTCAATATTTAGAAAATAGAACCGCCACACAAATAACTATAATCCTATACTCAATCACTTTCCAGGAATCAAAGGCTTGGGGTCAGTCATCCCAAAGAATGGCTTTTATTAAATGTCTATATTCATATCATAATTATTGATTATTTATTATTAAATTATTAATTACTATTACAGTCATATTCAATCATCCTCCGATCTAGATAAATGATTATTTTGAAACCCGGCAGACTACAGGTTGTAGATTGGAGTTGAAGAGCTGCCTCAATTTATATCTTTAAATCAACCCAACATCTTTACATACACATTTTCGACTTTAGAAATGCTTGGATCATACTTTAATCAAATTCAGAGAATACTGCTGCACACAAAATTGAAACTTTTAAAAGACAATTTGGCCCTATTTTAGCCCTTACACCAAGATCTTTCAAATGGTGAAAGACCTACTGACTAGTGTCACAACCTGAAGTTCTTAGCACGCATGTTCACATCATAAATAAAATCTAACTGAAATCCTGTCCGTGGTTTTTACTGAGCTTATGACGTTAAAAAAAGAAAGCATGAAATTATCCCAACTTTCTTTTAAGCCACCTAGATTTCAATGAGTGGGAACAAAAAACAAAAACAATTTTCTAACCATGTACACCACATAAGCCACGGTAAAAGTATTTTTATAAGAAGATCAATAATGTTATTTCAAGTAACATCAGTAATGACAACCATTTAGAAATCTGGTTACTGGTGTAAGACTGAGACTAGTGTGTGTAAAAACCAAAAAAAAGGCGCTGCAATGAGTCATCTCTTGATGTGGGTGTGGGGGCATCCACACATTTCCATAAAGAACTACTTTACAGTCTTCTTTTTTGCCCTATGTCATGTTTGAATTCGGTAGTGCAACCACTTCAACTGAAACACCTCATGTTTTTGGTTTAGATTGTCAGGAAGTAAGTAATCCACAGGCAGTATTTTATACAGACGTTATCTCAAAAGTTGCAAAAAAATAACTTACGTCCGTATGCAATACTGCACGCGAATCCACATGCTTCAAAAAGGAACTTTCCCCAATTTCTTTTGCCCCCCCCCTCCCCCCCAGCCATAAATAGATACTTGACAAATGATAGAGACCATACATTTATGACAATAACATCATAGCGTCTCCTACCCTCCTCCCATTATAAGGAGAGGAGGGAGAGGAAAGGGAGGTGAAGAGAAAGAAGATCACGAAAGCACAATGCGGAGTAAAATTTGCTAACCAAATGATTCATTACATTTTATGAAGGATGAAAAGTCGCAAAAGCTTCCAACTTTCAAGCGATCTTACAACAGTACCTCTTGCAACAGTACCATGTAAGAACTAACAAGCTTTATGAACTCTACCAACTATCTGTATGAGGCTATGTATACATGATTTTTATACAACCCAAATACACATCGCCACACGAGCTGAACAAATGGAGACACATAAATAAAACTAGAAAATAAAATTCAAAAGTTGTACTACCTAAAAACTTTGTAATCACTACAAGCTCACCCTCTTTAACTCCAAAACACAGTACACAGAGTTGTCACAATTTACTTGTCACTTGTGACATTAGTCAAATTAATAGAATTTGGCCCCTCAATACTATTCAAATGGAAATTTTAAGCAAATGTTCTCCAAAAACCATAAAAACATTTCACTTTCATGAAAATGGAAGACTGTCATAATACACGGGGAAATGTAAAACAAAAAGGCTGGCCACTGCAAAGACTGGGCTGATCCTGTGGATTTGTGGAGATCAAGTGCAGACTTAATCTGATTAAAGAAAGTGTACTTAGCAAAAAGTACTAACAAGTTTGGGGGAAACAAATATAAAAACAGCCAAAAGAAAACCAGGATCTTGAATAATAATCACAAAAGTTTCTGTGTCAAAGTAGATTTTTTCTCTTCATCAAGAACCAATATTATTTGTAATATTTTGCCTCATCAGTAGATACAATAATTTTTTTTAAAATATTATATATTCATACTAGACACAGTAATTTTCTTTGAATATGTAATTCCTTTTTGTAAAAATATAGAAAAATAAATAAAGATATTTCTAAAAGTATAAATTAAAGTTATATGTGTGTGTTGATGTATTTAAGATGATCTGAATACAAATCTAATCTGTGATAGAAAACAACAGATGAAGGGATGGGGGGGGTGGAGTGGGGGTAAAAACACTGGGAACCACAATAAAGTTGAACTACAACAGAAACATGGAAACAACTGCAACAAACACTGAAGTAAACTACCTTTCCACTCCCAACAAACAAAAACAAGGAACATGAATTCAGAGCACACAAAGTAGAAACACAAACATGTATCATACCAAACTGTTAAGCAACCCATCCACTCTGCACGTACTTGCACATAATCCAATTTGGTCAGAATAAATGTGTCCAATTTTGTGAGACTTTATAAGACTTCAATTTAGTCCATACCTTGCCTGTACTTTTTTTACCCGTTCTCATCTCATCACATTCTCATTTTGAAAGTCTTTTTATGAAACCTAATTACTAAAGAACAACAACGAAGGCACACGCTAAGCAGCGTAACGGGTACGGTTGAGCTCTCCATGTTTGGGGGATACTTTACACGCAGTCCTCTTGCGATTTATTTTCCCCCAAGCAGTTGAACACATAAACCTAAATCTTCAAGATGCATCACAAACCATCTGAAAGTACCTAAGGTGGTAGAAGTCCTTTGAAAAGTCCACATCAGAATATGAGGATAGGTAACCCATCCTCAAAAAAAAATTTAAAATTGACTAATGAACAGTCCAAAGAAATATTTTTAAGGAGTCCAATTAGAAGGAATGACAAGTCCAAAATGGAATCTTTAGGACAAACGTGTCCATTAGCTGCTAAAATTTAAAATAGTTTCTTTCACTATTATTACTCCCAACAAATTCCAAACACTGACCTTTACTTTTTTCTCAAGATAACTATTTTGCTGATAAATATCACTACCAGCTTTGTTTGTCCACTAGAAACATTTCTTGCAAATGCTCAGGGACAACAACACACTGATGAACACTGAACCAGAAACACAGCTGACGTCGCTGCATGTTGCTCAAGACATACTACATTCAGCTTTGGTGATCACGAACAACATCCAAACTCCACGGTAACTCCCAAACTCCACAGCACTATCGCTGAAGAGCTTGTAAACCTTCCCAACAAGACACAAAGCCTTCTCAAAGCTTCACATCAACAGGCATGTAAGGGGTCCACACCAGTCCTCAATGAAAATTATGTCCATGATCAAAAGTCTTTTTCTGAGAAAGTCCCAGGAAACTGAATACTCATTCACCGCCGATAAAATCCATCTATAGACAAGAAATAATTAAGGAAAACACTAGTTAAAACTTTATGTAAGCCACGCAATTCAAACAAATTAGAAGCTGTGTGTTTTCTTTTTTCTTTTTCTTATTTGTTACTTACATATGAAAGTTATTCCTAGAAGGTATCTAAAATATCTTGAAAAATTTTCAGGAAATTAACTGCTATTCCACACCTCTCTGGACCTTTCATTTTACTTAAGTATCATGCTTTTTTTTTTTTTAAGTAAGCTATTTGATAGGCTTTTAGAAGTTGATCTTTGATCTATGGCACCTAGCAGCATGTACACACTGAGATCCTTGGAGCACACCAATCTTATGGGCTACAGGAATGTCCACATAGTTCTCTATGCACTCTTCTCCAACACATGACACCCAGCACATCAGCCTCCTAACCTGGGAAAATCTGGCCCTGGGCCTATTGCCATTCTCCTTGGGCCCATGAGACGGGGTGCTCTTTCCTTGAGTCCGTGCTCTGAGCGCACGTGAGCTTTTCGTGCTTTCTTGACCACGTCCGCCATGTCCAGATTGTGATCGGAAGGAAACAGCTTGCACAGGTTTTCCCCGCATCGTGGCTCAATTTCCTGGAAAATAGACACAAATTGCTAGTAAATGAACATGTTCATTTCAGTCAACCATTTCACAAAGAGGACAACAGGTGACAGAATTCATCATGGCACATATTACAGCTAGACCTGCATGTGAGCCTCAACCAGATTGTCTGAAATCAAGATTTCAACCCCCCCGTAAGAGCTTTTGTGGGTGTCATAAGGAAGGACTTCCGAGTAACGAGCGACCACCCCACCAAACACAATAAAGTCTTAAGAGACCTAACCCTAACCCTAGGCCTACCCCCCCCAAAAAAAGAACCTGCAACGGGCCTCGTGTAAAAAGGCCAGCACAAGTCCAAAATGAAATTTATTTTTTTTTAAAACACACTCCAAAACAAACAAGGAGCATAATATGGCCTAGATCTAGATCTACATTGCTATAATAGTATTAATAGGGTTTGATATATATTAATAGGGTTTGATACAATACAATAACACAATAGAATTGGAATATATTTATATTATGAATCCTCCGCATAGATCTAGTAATCTAAATAAATTTAGATCTAGATCTTGTAGAACAAGTGAATAGGAATAGGCTTTGAACTAGAAATCGGCATCCGATTCCGAAAGGTGGGACTCAGCTTGGTCTAGAATCTAAATCTAGATCTAAATGATTCTAAATAAATAAATAATTCACGCACCTGATGAAATGCTTTTTACCAACATTAATATTACAGCACAACCTAAGATAGGGTTTGACACAATAGAATTGGAATATGAATCCTCCATTGAGGTATATAATGATCTATATAAATCTAGATATTGATCAAGATCTAGATTCTATTAGAACAAGGGAGTCGGGACTTGAATGAATCCACACGATCTGAACAATTGAATTAGTCAACAAACGAAATTCAAAATGGCCGCTCGAGCACGAAACTGAAAGTAGATAATTTAGGTCGTCGTCCTTTTTCATATTCGCATTTCTTCTTCTACTGAGGTTCCGACAATTAGACAATTGTGTCGCAAACGCCGACGTCAGCACGAGAACGAAAGTGCCGACAAAGCCGACGGGAGAAAAAGGGGGCGCTGGCAGTCGGCTAGGCCTCGCACTACGCACATTGACTGATACAGGTGGGCCCAGCGATAGCATCGGCCGGCTCGCGGGTAGCGTCGCGATTGTCGGATTTCAGACGATTTTCGGCAAACATGCAGGTCTATACAGCGCTTGAAGGGAGATGAAAATGATAATGCAGAATTTCAATAAAAAGAAAGTGGCTTTCATTCGCCAAGTCGCCAGTTCGAATCAGGAGGTGCTACTCAAGAGTTCTCACTCGTTTTTAATTTTGAAAATTCAAAGACTGGAACATTGTCTACACATTCCAGTTCAGTTGAGTAGAAGTCCACAACGAGTCTGCATGTTAACTGCATATCACTAAGAATACATTTGGGGGAAAGTTCTCAGTACCAAATAAGGAGAAACTTATCGACAGGAAAATTGTCATGCAGTGCTGGAAAAGAGCAAGATGGATGCACAGAAATCAAAAAAGGAAAGTAATGGACCTATCATCAGTCACACCCATCCACCGACCAGTGGCAACTGGTATGAATATAATAGCAAAAGTGAACAGAAGTAGAAGCAGGCCTCACTACCAGCCCTTCATCAATTTGGCCAGACCCGAGACCCACAAGACCACATGACAATGACAACCACACTGCAAATGGAAAAAGAAAGTACATTCATTAAAAACATGCCAATCACTTGTATAATGTACTTCTTCAACAAACACACATTTGTTCTGTGGAGAAGCCAAAACAGTTTCACTACTCTTGTCAATGCAGCATCATCTGAGAAAAACTACATGTCCCCTGACACAGCATTTTGTTCTTCCCTGATGATGCTTCACAAACAAAAGAGATATTTAAAAAACAAACAAACATGGAAAGAAATATATGTAGACATTTTTTTAAACTCTAATAAAGGATGACAAAGATAGAAGTTCATAGCTCAGGCAGTTGTTCATTCTTTATAGTAATCCATCTGGTACTTACACGACTGCACATTTCTGATAAAGCTATGGACTAAAATTCTGAATAATAAGTTAAAGAACATTTTCATGACAACTAAGACTACTTCTCACTACTTATGGTCATCTTTCATTACCACTGAGAGTGCCATGCCTCAAAAGAGAACAAACTTATAGGTACAGTAACTTGTTTGTGTCCAAATATCGCTTTCTGTTGTTATTAAAAACCCCCTGAAAGAGATAACTCCAAAATGACTTATCACAGAGGTAGCTTGATACAAAAGCCTAAAACAGAATTTTTCAAGGCAAGACCAAAGTCAGATGGTGATGGGGGGTTTTTTTTCAAAAGACATATTCAAAATGGTAAAAAATATTTCTGATAGTTCATTTGTACAGTAAATCGAATAAACACTCAGGTAACAATTACAATATCAAATAATACTAAAAGGTGCACAGATGAACAATCCTTTGAAGTACAGCTAGTGAACCAACAAACTGACCTGACCATCTCGCCCGATTTTCACTCGCTTGTTATCATTCCACAAATTAAACAGATGATTTGTCTTGATGAATTCCAAGTCTTTCCTGTGAAAAATTATAACAACAAAATTTTGAATTTAAAAAACAATCAAATGCTTTTTCTTCATTTAAAAACAAAAGCGGAAAGCTGAACATTTCTTTTACAAGTGAGTAACAATCTCAGCCTTACAAATAAAGAAACAGATTTTTTAAATGCAAAAAAAAAAAAAGCATATTCACAAGAAAAGAAAATTTAAAGTAAAATGAATTAGCACTATGTAGTAACAATGCAAACAAACTGCAGTTCAACAAAGATTTCCAAAACATGGTTTGAAGTGAAACAGTGATGTACACACACACACAAAACAAATTGTAAAAATGAAAGAAAACCCAGGTGAAACATTACCTGCTGACCCAGTCTAGCTTAAAAACTCCACTGAGAGCACGAGAGGTCATTCCGGGGGGTAAAACCCAGCGCACCGGAGGATGATCTTTGGTAGATTCTTCAGCCAGACGAGCAAAACCTGTAACAGAATTTGAGCCCAGCAATTCATTATCGTATGTTCTGACAAGCCAAAAATCAATTAAATTCCTTGATATTTGTTATCTGAGGGAGGACTGGACAGAAAAGGAAATCATCCTACCTATGGATAAGTCTCCCCCCCCCCCTTCCCCTATTAGATTTCCATATTAAGACAAAATCAAATCTACCGCAAAACGTAAAACTTAAAACACAGCAGTACAAATAGATGAGTGACCAACACAGTAAGTAGGAAATCAAATGAATCATCATCAGTATCTTAAAGTTGAGTCAATAACAAACGAACCAAAAAAGAAAAAATGGAAAAGTAGATCACATTCCGACAGTCGACAATACTAACCATAAATACCAAGGAAATGGCAATTTTAAAAAAAATTATCAAAACAAACAATATACAGGATAAGACATTTGCTCCAACCTTGAAATTTTCCACTTTCTTTCACAGAAAATATCAAGATCACATTTTCACACTCCTGAAATTAAAAACAAAACATTGAATCAGTCAGCAATATGTAAAACAAATCAAAATCATTTAAACAAGGAACAGGGCTTATCCAAACACAATTCAATAGCTTTTCTCTCCCACCCCCCCCCCCCACCCATATTCGCCAAGGTTTACTTATAGAAGCACATTAGCATGTCCCTGACCAAATATTTTTTTGTTTTAAACAATGCAAAACTTAATGCACACAAATTTCTGACAGGAGCCATGATGGGTATTACATCACACAATGAAAAATATAACAAACAATGATTAACTTTTAAAAACAAACAAATTCTTCAAAATAAAATAAGCAGAATTGTGCAAATTCTTCAGTAGAACCCCACTTTGAGAAAACAAATTTCCTTTTAAGACCTCCAACGCAATAGAAATAATAATAACTGAATCATTTAGAGCAGCTGTCTCTACCACTTGTCAAAGTCCCTCCATTAAAGATGACAAAATTAAAACACCCAAGCAGTTTACTATGTATATGAGAAGAAAATAAAAGACAAAACTGGTCTGTCTATCCAGCAGAAAAGTAATCATATATATATCCCTTAAACCAAATGTTACCTTGAAAGCTTGATTGAATCTGGCTTCATTTTGCGGAGGGGTTGACCAAATTCCTTTCGCCTTTGCCAATGCCACATTCTCATGATTATTACTCTTGACCAAAAAGAAGCGGGCTCCTCGCATGAGGTACTTCAATTTTGACCAATAACCTGTTGAAAAATGTATTACTGCTAAAAAAAACTTTTCAGCAACAAATAAAAAATGTCATGACACTATACCTACCTGTACAATGAATAATAAGACTTAAAACATAATGACATAAGACAATGCATGATTCATGTCTGATCATTACCAGCAAGTTTTACTTCTGCACTTTTCTTAAACACCTGAAGAACGTCTGAAATGTTCAACTCTGTGTAGAAAACAAACGGTTGAAAGGAGAAAGAAAAAAAAAGTACACATTAGACCACCCGAATAAACCAGTAATGAGGGAACTGAGCTTATCAACGTCTGGAGTACCTCAAAGAGGATACAAGCCAACAGAAGTTGTGGTTTCTGAAGAGACAAGTGCAACCTGGCATTGCACTTCTTAACATCTATTTCATAGGACAAGTATTCTGCTTCAGTAACTTCTCTGATATTTATGTTTTTAAAAAAAAGGATTCGTTGTCTGCTTGAGCAGCTTGCATCTCTAAATTTCTGAGCTATTCTTTATAATCAAAATGTGTATATGCATTATCTTAAAGATTTTTCCAAATATAAGTCTCTGACAATATCTAAACAACATTGTCCGGAACATGCACAAATACTATTTGTGTCACGACACGGTGGGATCAGGCACTCATCAATTTTTGGGTATATGCAGTTATTGGTATCATCTTAAAGGTTGTTCATTTGCCTTGCTTTTGGAGAAAAAAATATCCAATTATCTTGCATAGAAGTTGAGATATTTGTGATTGAAAATGTTGGGGTCGCTTGGTTTCAGAAGTAAAATTAGTGAGAAAATAGCCGCCAAAGTTTGGTGACTTCCATAGCTCAAGAGTCATTGGGAACTGCAAATTTACATTTTTCGTGCCTTAAATCAACACTTTTCCATAAAATCCACACATAAGAATGTTTTTTAATGGACATACAAGGTGCCGAGCCAAAAAGCAAAAATTTGAAAAAATTTTCCGAACTAACTGAAAAATGCTGATTTCTTTGATTTAATTATTTTGACGAGCGCCCGATTTCACCACGAAGCCTCACATTTGCTCGGTCATGGCTACTACATACTTCTGTCACCCTCTCGACTGTCTGCACGTCCTCTGTGCTCCCTCGATGTGTTTTCATTTCCTTCTTCAGGCTCACTGTCTCTGCTAGGCTTCCCTCTTGCTCCTTCACTCTTTCTGTCCCACTCGATCGGGGAAATTCCTCTCTGAGACTTCTTTTTTGGCTTTTCATCGTCATCTGGAAAGAACAAGAGGACATTTACATCACATGAGACATAGCAACACACTGGATGTTAATGATGACATATTTGAAATCATCGAACAGACCAGAAGCACTGATATGTAACAGTAGGAGTGAACCACAAGGATACCAAAAACCTTAGGTACCACTTCCAGATCAAATTAAATTTACCTAATATCAACCAAAAAACATTGAGAAGACAGTTCATACTCTTCAACTGTACAAAAGAAAATTTTCAAGTCAAAAAAGTCAAATCCAAGGGAACTAATCATGTGTGGAAAGGAAAAATATACTTCACCCATCTGGTAAGTGCTCTAACCTGAATGGTCATTGTCATCAGCATTCAGGCTTAAGTCTGCTTTTTCTTCTTGATCTTCAGCATCGTACTCTTCCTCCTCATCCCCTTCCTCCTCTTCTTCTTCTTCCTCCTCCTCCTCTTCTTCTTCTTCCTCCTCATCCCCCTCTTCTTCATCTTCTTCCTCTTCATCCTCGTCTTCTTCTTCTTCATCATCATCATCGTCTTCTTCCTCTTCGGACTCTTCTTGATCTGTTGATTTAAGAAGAAAAACAAGTAACAGCAAACGGGACATTGCAAATTGAAAACTAGCTACGTCAGATTCCTGGAAAAAAGAATGCGTACTGCAATAAAAAATATTTAAAAACCCATTTATTGAAACAAAACTCTGTTATGTAACCATGTTTTCGTTTTAGTAAGTGTTTTACAACACTTGCAACACAATAAGGTCATATAAGTGCCGAAGATTAGTTGTTGTTTTTTTTAGTAGAGACTTTACAACGCTCGCAACTGCATAAGGTCATATGAGCGGGAAGGGGTGGATGTCAACAGAGAAGTCCTTACATGGAATCAGGCTTACTCCGCTCACCTCTCAAGCTTCAACAGTACAAATTCTGCTTCGACTAATCAGGCACCCTGGAAATAACGGGTCACAAGAGTGTGACAAACATACAAAAGAAATAGAGGGAATATGACGATAGTAACGATGAAGAAAGAAAAACCAGCAGTTCCCTGCTGCAGTTCAGGCAGACATAGATGAGTCAGCCCATTTACAATTCTACTGTGCAAAAGAACATGTTAATGCCCCCCCCCCCCCCCCCCCCCCCCAAGGAAAGGCCTAACGACACTTCAGTCAGTAGCACCGCCCGGGGGGGGGGGGGGGGGGGGGGGGGGGGTTACGAAGATTACAGGTGTTACAAGGGAGTAACAAACACAAAAAGAAGGAAGGGAGATAATAGAAAGACGATAGATTCAGATGTTTGATAGAAAAGAAGAAGCAGACCACAAAAGAGCACCCGCCAACCACCCACATAATCACGTCTTTTAGTTTTAGTAAGAGTTTTACGGCACTTGCAACACAATAAGGTCATAAAGTGCCAAAGATTAGAGGTTACAAGAGAGTAACAAACACAAAAAGGAAGGAGAGGAGATAAAGATGATGGATGTTTGATAGGAAAGAAGAAGCAAACCACACCAGAGCACCCGCCAACCACCCACATAATCACGTCTATTAACACTTAAAGTGTTTTCACTTTCATCTAGGTCCTTTCACTTTTTGTGAGTATGTGTGTAAGTGTTAGTGTGCACAACTATCCAACAATCTATAAAGCAAAACACAGATTCAAGCACTCATACAATTATACAAAGCATAAAAATGAATCCAATCTAAAATGAACTGACAGATCGTGTGTCCTAGGAGCCAAACATTTCTCAATCCCTGATCATTTAAATAATCAAATACATTAAGAGACAAAAATATGAATTACACGGTACAGACATAATTTAATTTTCAAAATTTGAATGCAATGAGAAAAATTCGAAACAGACCTACTACCTCAAGTTTCTAAAAATATCCATATTTCATTTTTACAAGCAAATGCAAGAACTTTAAATCTACAGGACTAACTTTTTTTTACCATACCCTATAATCCAAATAGAAAGGATACAATATGTTTTTATATCCCTAAAGTTGAAATTACAGAGACATGGCAAATAACTAGAGCGCACAAACCTAGAGAGTCAACATTACTCTGATCACACTGCATTCTTGCTGTCTTTGGCCTTGAGTGGTCATCGCTTACTGAAGAAGACATTGGTCTTTTTGATGGGCGAGACTGAGCATTCCTTGCAGCCAAATCTACTGAAAAATTATATACGAACAACAAACAGATGATTACATAAATGGAACCCCAAATAACACCTTAATTTACACAAAGGAGTCACAACATCTCAGAATAAAAACCAAATGAATTAGGAGAAGGTCCATCTGAGAAGAATGCTTCACCATAAAAGAGCATGGTACACTTTCACTGCAAAAGAATTTAAGAAATATCAGGCAAATATTTATATAAGAGAGACGAGATAACCCAAAAAGAAAGTAAAATGAGTGAAGAGCCTGCTATAAATATTGACCATACTTTATGATTTAAAGAGCTTGCATTGTGACAATTCTTCAGTCACTCGCTTTGAAATTCTATTCAAAATATTAACCATTTGGATATTAATCATTAAAAAACTAACATGCTTACCTGCATCCTCACTCATTTCGGCTGAAAAGTCGTCACCTTCATGGTAATCATCCAGTATGTCATCCAGTAGATTCTCCCCATCTGCACATTAAAAAAAATCAAAAACAAATTTGAACCATTACATCAATCAAACCAAAAGAAATACAGTCAAACCTGTGTAAGACGGCCACCCATTGTCAAGGAGAAAAGTGGCCGTATAAGACAGGTGGCCGTCTTAGGCAGGACTGATCAAAATTAAAACAGCAAATCCTTCTCTTCTGAGGTTCAAACCGAGGCTGATCTCAGGCTTTGGACTGCCGTAGGCTAATTCAAAAGGGTTTGTGTTTTTTCTTTTGAAAAAGGGGAGAGGGTGGTGTAAGAAGGGTTTTTGTGTTGTTGCTTTGTTGGTGTGGGGTTTTTTTGGGTTAGCATTCTCTTTGTTGCTGATTTTGTGCAGCAAGTTCATGTCAACGTCCATTGTTACTTTGTTACTAAAAAGATTAGCATACCTGCCAACATTGCCTGGGTCAAAATCTGTAGTTGACACAAATTTTTGTCCAAAAATCTGTAGTTGACCTAAAAAATTTGAAGAAGGCTTTATTGCCAGTTGCCCTTATCAATATTTTGACCAACATCAAATATGAATGTGCTTGCGACTTCAAACAAATGTAGAAAATGACAAACAACAAAAACAACAAAAAAAGACAAATATGAAAACTTCCAGATGCATTTACCCTTTAGTAGTTGGTGCCGTTCCTGTCCTATTCATACATGCACACACACACACAAATGAAACAAACAAACAAAAACAAAAAAACAGAAGCAAAGATGACGAAAAGGGGGGTCTTGGATGACTCAGGCCTAGCCTTGGCCTTGGCCCTTAGCCTTTGCAGAGTTTATAAGGTAAGAGTACGACGGATCCCAATCCCACAAAAGGCCTGCACCAACGCACGTTTGGACGTTCTGCAGAGAGTTTTAGATCTAGTAGTAATCAAAATTTAGAATACTAAAATTTGCTTCCAAAATGAGTTTATGTTTTTCTGGTGTTGTCTTCAACAGAGGGAAGGAGTAGATCTTGCGAGAACTTCCGGGCAAAACAAAATGGCGACCCGCCTTCGCATGAATTTCCTCCTTTTTTGAAATTCCTGAGCGGCAGCTATGTTAAATCTAGATCTAGGCTAGCTTCGAAACTAGATCAATGATTTATGTCTGTCTGTCTAGATCTAGACCTAGGCCATATATATCTAGAAGAACCTAGGCCTACCCTGAGCCAAGAGGGCGCTGAAACTTTGTGAAATCACAAAAGAGTTCCCTTACCGGGTCTGTATACTTTGTGACTTTGTTCCCGGTTACCAGGTCTGTATACACTTCGTTTTATGGTAAAATCAGGAGGGCATGCTCCCTTGAAACCTCCACCTTATTTTTGTTAGTTCAGGGGGGCAAAAAGGCCACCTCTAATCTCACCGTGAGTGAGATATTCTCACCCCGGGTGAGAATAGCGCTGGCAAGTCTTTTGGCTATTCTCACCCGGTGTGAGTTCACCGTTATAGCCTAGATCTAGACCAACCAATTTTGCGTTCACCCTGAACCACAGAATTCTACACTGTGATAACAGAAAAATTGTAGAATTCTGTGCCGTGAGCTTGTACGTTCCATTACTACTGTTAGTGTTAGCCTAAAAGCATACAATTTTGTCTGTGGGCAGTGGAGAGAGAGAGAGAAAGAGAGAGAGAGGAGTAGTGCGAGAACTTCCGGGCAAAACAAAATGACGACCTGCGTAGTTCGGCTCGATTCAAAAAGTTAAATGAGCCATTGCCAAAACGTGGGGAAAAACACACACATCTCACATAAGTGTGCATAAAATGTGATGCATTTGTATTTTATCCTCCAAAACGTATACACATGTCAAATATAGGATGTAGAACCTGCATTAGCAGTTTCAGACCCCATGTCAGCTTTATAATCTTGAGTTTGTAAATTTTGTGCCAAAAATGTTCGTTTTTTAGTGATTCCTGGAGTGTCATTTTGAGCACACCAATGCAAACTTCCAAGAATGTCCAAAATTTAGTATTTTTGGGTGGGTTTTTTTACGTGTGCTTTGATCCTATGCTATTTGTCATTGAGAAAGGTTAACTTGCTCAAGAAATCGGTTTATTTGTTTGCAAATAGACGAACAATTCCGATTACTTGTGCGTCTGTCGTGTCGTCACGGACTAGGTGTTTCAGAAAACACCATTATTTTTCAGTAGAATCACTGTAGCTGGTTAAATCTTTTTGCCTATCGTCGTTTATTCAATACTTCAAAAGCCGCTATGCGCGAAAGGAACATCGGGTTCCTAGATCTACGATTTCGGTCGGCTGTTTAACATTCACCGTTATTGTCGTCAATTTGCGACGTGCCGGAAGTCCGAATTTCGCCCACTTTTGTTTTGAATGGGTCATCAACAATGCCCGGATATAATTGTTTTCTTGAGTGACTTCCCCTTACCCGCTTCCTCAGAACAACGGAAGCAACGGGGGAAGCAGAAAAACGAAGTAGTCATTGCCTTCAGCGTCCGGTGACGCACAAGTATTTTGCGTTGAATGTGACGTACTGGGCTGTTTTGCGTGTTTTTAGGCTACTCTGTTGAATATTTTAGTGAAATTGCGGTGTTTACACTGGATTCCTGGAACAAGAGTGTGATGTGTGAACAAACTTCGAGAGATGGATCATTTCTGTGGTTATAGATTTAGCTTTTGTGCTCAATGATGACGTTTGGGGTGTCGTCATGTGTCTTCATTGTTATGTACAGAGCTGTTAAAGTACTTTTTAAAAAGTATTTAAGTACAAATTTAAGTACAATCTAAAAAATGTACTTAAGTACAGTAAAAGTACTTTCCTGTAAAATGTATTTGAGTACAAGTACTTTTTTAAAAAGTACTTATGAGTACATTTTGAGTACTTTCTGCTAATATGCTAAAACACTTCAGCGCTTATGCAAAACATCATATCAAATAACATATCCAGCCTATTTGATAAATTAGGCTATTTAATACTAAAAATGTAAACATTATACAAAGCATTTGAATATACAATGTACGCACTGAGCGGAGGTGGAAATGGTCCGCGAAATTGAAAAAACCCAACCCAAACGGACAGACGCAACTGGCGGGTAAGTGATATTATGAATAGAACTTGTTTGAGCAAGACAATGTGATCAAATGTAAGTCAGTTCAAGAGGTTGGAAAGTTCTACAGAAAAAGTATCCAAATTGGAAAATGTAGATACAAAGTTACTCTGAAAAAAACGTAAAATTGATGAAAATGGCCAGCCTAGAAATGGAAAAGTGCATTGAATTCTTCATTAACAAATCCTCAAGGAATCAATGTAGCCTTAAGCAAAAACCACCAAAAAAAAGTTTAAAATAAATTTAGGCAGCCTAAAAAATTGTTAGATTCAGTTTCAATTGATTATAGTGGTAAGACAGATTTAGGTCACTCTGTGTAGTCCACGGCGCCCACGGCAAACCAAAATACAATAGTTTCCTAGAGTCTAGTAAGTGTAGTGTAACCAAAGATTCTCTACTGCAGTAGTCTCCGCCTAAGATCCCCGTGCTCGGAAGCAAGGAAAATAATTATGGGATCTTAGCCGACGAAGCAAAGGAAGAATCTACATAGTGACCCTTGAACTGACGTGACCCCTGGGTGGATTTATGACATATGACAAGCAAAGAGTGGTCAACCTTGATGACCAATCACAGTGGCATGAGGCATGCCATAAATAATACATGTATATATATACTCATTAGCCTATCGTGAGTCTAGAGATCTTTATCTACGTTTATCCAGTTGCCCCTCCCCTTCACCTGTCCAACAATTTTAGCTTTCCATATCTGATTGAGTTCCCCCCTCCCCTCAACCACCTTTGTCGTTACGCGCCATTACGTTGTGACCACACCAATTAAAATTCAGGCTGTATCGCAAATTCGGAATACAGAAAAACTGCTTTCAATGATCAGGGCAGAGTTCACAGTTTGATGCGATCCCGCCTGGAGCGAACTTGTAGGCCCTACCCACCCAGGGAGTGATGTAAGTTTAGGTGGTGAGGTCAGATGCGAGTGCGATGTTTGGGGAAAAGAAACGCATCGGTCAGTTCACACCTCAGTGTGATCCCGTCTGGAGCATATTACCATTATGAATGGAGTTCATAGTGTACAAAGTCTTTGTTTACTAAACAAATGGAACTTAAAGTCCATAATTTGCCTTGCTGCTTATCTGTTTTTGTCATCACTGTTACATACAAGAAATACAGTGGTTGCCAAACCAATAGACCCATATCTCCAAAACCGTACATCTCCTTGCTCAGATACTCTAGTAATATGAGCACTAAATGTCAATCTGTGACTGACAGAAAAGAGAGTCAAATTGGTAAGAAAAATTTTTTTGCACCACTGAGTCTCAAGAGAGTCTCACGTTTTGGCAATTGCTCAAATAGCCGTAGCATCTTTGTAGACGACCAAATTAATTAACTTATATCTATATATGTGTTTTAAAATAATTTTTAAACTTAATTTTGGTCAATTTTATTGTCCACACCAATAGACAGTAATCAGAAAGAGACATAGAGAGAGAAGAGGGGAGGAGTAGATCTTGAATGGCGACCCGCGTAGTTCGGCTCGATTCGAAAAGTGAAATAGCCATAACATCTTTGTAGACGATCAAATTAGCTTACGTTTGTGCTATAACATAATTTTTTCTTTGCTATCCATTTGATCATCCACACCGATAGAAAGTATTCCAAAACGAAGTGTATACAGACCCGGTAACCGGGAACAAAGTCACGAAGTATACAGACCCGGTAAGGGAACTTCTTTGTGATTTCGGAAAGTTTCAGCGCCCAGACCCAGAATTGTGTGTGTGTGAGAGAGAGAGAGAGAGAGAGAGAGAGAGAGAGAGAGAGAGAGAGAGAGAGAAAGAGGAGAGAGAGAGAGAGAGAGAAAGAGGAGAGAGAGAGAGAAATTCTAGAGATCTAGGCTAGCCTCGAAACTAGATCAATGATTCATGTCTGTCTGTCTAGATCTAGACCATAGATCTAGAAGAACCTAGCTACCCTGAGCCAAGAGGGCGCTGAAACTTTCCGAAATCACAAAAGAGTTCCCCTACCGGGTCTGTATACTTTGTGACTTTGTTCCCGGTTACCGGGTCTCTATACTCACATAATTAATACTGTATAGAGGCTACACTCCCATTCCAAAATTAGGAAAAACAGGTCTTGTTTCACACGGGGTGAGAATAGTCAACGGTGGCAAGGCTCACCCAGGGTGAGAGGTCGATCGTATTTTTATTCTCACCCCACTTCCTAGCAAAAAAAACCCCTGAAACCCCCTCACTCTTGAGGCCAAAACCTGCGAATAACAATTGCGGTGTGGGAACTACCGATAAAGCGCCAAGAACAGGGTGAGGGATGCAACCTAACTCTGCAAAACATCAAATCATGGTAAAAATCCATGCCCCCCCCCTGAACTCCCCCTCCATGTTTTTAGGTAGCGTCAATTGCCACCGAGTGACGCGGTGGCAATTGACAAAAATTGACTTTTTGTCAATTGCCACCGAGTGAAGCGGTGTCAAGTCTGGAAACAACACCATCTTTAGCATTATAATGTGTGTCTAATGGGTCAATTTGTTTTCAACTAATTTCATTGGACGAGCATCTAGTCTAGAGCTACGGTACCAACTTGGCGTGTTTTCAATGAAACGTCGTAGGCGTAGATCTAGGCTAGCCTTAGCCTACATTTTGTTGTAGAACCAAAGCAAAAGAGCTCCAATTTACTTGGTGGCAATTGACAAAAAGTCAATTTTTGTCAATTGCCACCGCGTCACCATGTTTTTATTAGGTCGGGGGGGGGGCTTGTCCTGAAATCCCCCTACTTTTGACTCGTGGGGCCCAACAAACCAGCTAATAATAGCCTAATTGGGGGATGGGAACTGTCGAAAAAGTGCCATTCTTTGCCTTGCCTTGAATTTTGATTTTCTGGCTTTTAGAGTTGATTGAGCGTTTCCTTCCAGTCTCAAGTCTCATGCTTAGGTTAGGAGACTTAGTTCACTCCTCAACGATTACCTAATCTAGATTTCATTAGATCTAATCTAGAATCTAGCTAGATCTAGATCTAGCTAGAATGTAGATTCTAGCAATACAGGGTCTTAGACGTTCAGCTTTGGACTTTAACGAACGAAACTAGCCTTCATCTAGATCTAGATTCTAGATCTCTAGATTCTAGATCTTGATCTAAAGTCTAATCTAGATAGAACTACAAAATGACAAAGAAGCTATCTAGAATCTAGATTCTAATTACTTTTATACTTCACTTCACTCTTCACTTCAACTGATCCGAATTTAAAAGCTTCTTTTGCGTGCTTTCATAGTCTAGAGAGAGATCCATATATTTGCAGACACCTTACCTTTCACTTTCAAACTCATGCTGGTGCGCTCACTGTGTCTTTATCGCCTTTAGTTATATCAATTACTACAATAAATAGACATGAAAAACAAAGAATCGCATTGACCGTCAGTCAAAGATGGCGATTAGATCAGTCAAGGCTGTGTTTTTCTTCGTAGACAGACAGCGGCATCAACTTCCGGGACACACAAAAAAATAAAAATTCGGAGTGACTATTCCAGGCTATTCCCAGTTGTCTGGGGATAGCATAAGCCTATCCAGCGCAGCTGGTAGCCTAGCTTATTCCCAAACTGCCGGTCTTCAGGAGAGTTCAAATTAGCCTATTCCCAGCATTTTGGGAATATCAAATGTCGTTTTTGTGTGTTTAGGTTTAGCCTAGTAAGTGTGTTTGTTTGTACTATTCTATGGCCCACTGCAGGACAAAGGTGCAGTGTGTGCAGTGTGCAGTTCTTCACGTTAGAACGTAACGTTCGTTGTAGAATACATGTAAGCTGTTAGAAAAATATATAATTTTATGAAAGTATTTCGTTCATTCTTGAGATAGAACTGTGATTAACCCTCGGCACTACAGACTACAGTCCTGCCTGACCACTCAGTTCAGTGTGTTCAGTCTCTCAGACTCCAGTGGGTGGGGCTTTGGATTGGATTGTGGAGAAGCCCAGGCCCAGGGGTCGTTTAATAGGAAGTCCTTCTTCTTATAGGCCTATTCGCTCACTCATTGACTGTCGTGACCAGGGAAATCAAAACTCTGCTGACGATCAGATCTGTAAGATTAATAGGCCCAAGCCCTATGTCATTTTCTAAAAGTGAGCACTCCTTTCTCCATCCATGGCATTGATCAGCAGTCAATTGAGACAGGAGCAAGATTAAATTTTATTTGTTTTATAAAAATTTTGGTAATCTTGTAGTTCCGTTCGTTGGGAAGATTGAAGAATACCAGACCACTCGTACATTATTGCGCGAGAATGTGGGGTAGGTGGTTGGGGTGGAGGAGGGGGGCGTTCAGGGGGGTCTCCCCCCTGACAAAACTTTAATGAATAGATCTACCGGTCCGAGACTCTCCATTGAGAAGATATTAAAAACGGGAAAATTATGAATTCCTAAGGTTGAGACATAGAGGCCAACTCAGTCCGCTGGTCCGGTATTCTTCAATCTTACCCGTTCGTTTAAGTCTACGATCCATTTGTTTACATCCAGAGAAGAAATCCAGAAAAGTCTTAATGACCAAAGTGCAACACAAAGAACAGGGATGCAACCTAATTCAGTAACTGCAAAACATCAAATTATGGTAAAATTCAACCCCCCTCCATGTTTTTATTAGGTCAGGAGGGTAAGGCAACCCCTCTACTCTTCACTTTAACGAACGAAACTACAAAATCACCAAAAAAATGTATGTCTTAAATAAATAGAGAAATCTAGCCTAGGCCTTGATCTATAAAATAAATCTCAATCATGGAGTATGGAGAATTTGTTTGAAACCTGGCTTTTTAAAATTTCAAATTAAAAGAAATTTCATCATTCTCCTTTTTATATATATATATAAGAATTTGAACAAAGCTTGACTAAATCTATATTAAAGAATAAAATGTTGGCAGTATTGGTGTTGGACGACAATATTATTTTATAATATTACATTATAATGAATCGCGAACCAATAGTTGTTCCTGCTCTTACGACCAATACAAACAACTGCTACCCCCCCCCCTTTTTTTAAATTTTATAAGCCCTGTAATATGACATCTTGTCCAGGTTATCCATCCATCACCATTCATTTTATTTTATTTTTAATATGACCACTCACACCTCTCATTCTCCAATTAATGTGTTGCCATTATAATTGCTGCTCCCTACCTTTATGGACAAGCCTTCATAATTTGTTCTAATGTTGTTAAACAAGCTATTGTGCCCCCTCTACACTGCTTGTTGACCAGGTAGGCGGGACTGATAGTCCTTTCAACTACATGTTTACCCACATTTAGTTAGTTGACCAATTGGTAACAAATTTACAGCTGCGGGTGCGTGAGGTGTTCGATAAAAGTCAGAAGCCCTTTTTTCCACAATTGAACCATCCACAAGAAGCGTCGAGAGGTTAGTGTCCCCACTGTTTACCCAAGTGGTAACAAAGGATGTCAGCATGAACTTGCGATAGAAGTGTTGCTGAGGTGGCAGCCCATAAGTTGTTTGTTTTACCATGGCACTCTGTCTTCCATGCTTACACACACATCTTAGAATTCAATGCTCACAGCAGTAGCAATACTTCATGACTGTATCATGCTGACTTTCTGCAATCAAAAGTAAATCGTACATTAAGAAAAATCCAGCCGCTGATGATGCCATCTGTGCAGAAATTTATTATAACTGTCTTTGAAAATATGACAGACAAAATAAATTGTTGCACAGACAAAATAAGAATCATGAGAGACAGAAAAATAGGATAAACTTTGGTTGGAGGTACGTGTATAACGAGAATTTTTTAAAATGTATTGTCACTTCAACATGAAGATCACCAAAAAAAAAAGTATATTAAAGCCAACTTCATCAATTGTTCAAAGCAACTATAGTCTGTATTTTTCATTAAGAACGGTATTAGAGAACCCTGCTTTTTCCCTATGAAAAAAAACCAACAAAGTTATCCGTGTTACCTGTGTGTATGTCATCCATGATGAGGGAAACACTCCCAGTAGAAAAATGAGCAGAACTTTTTTAAAGTGTCTCATTCCTGTGCAAGTATTGTACCTCATTATCTTCTCACTTTGTGTGAAGTCAGAGAAGTAAAGATATATATTTCCTTTTTGAAAATGTAGGTTGTTGCCTCTATTTTTAAAAAATGTTTTTATTTTTTATATTTTTTTTCTATATAAATCCTTTGTTATTCCCAGGTAAACTACTCCTTCCATGGACAGCCTTAAGATGTGGGTGTGAAATGGCATCATCCATAGCCCATACACCAGCAAAGATAGGAATTGAAGTTCGGGGTGTTGATCTTAAGTCTGAACAATCAAAGGACATCATTGAAAAAATCAAGAGTGACGTTCATAAACATCGTCTTGTGATTTTTAAAGATCAGGGTCAAATTAGTGGAGCTCGTCATGTGCAAATAAGTGAGTGGTTTGGAGATATTGAGTCAACATTCTACAAGCATCCAAAGTCCCCCCATCCTGATGTGTTCCGAGTGTCTAACGATGAGAGAGAGGGATGCCGGAATGTGGGAAGAACAGGGTGGCACATTGATGGCTCCTTCATGATGGAACCCTTCAACTATGCCATTTATCACATGGTGTCAATTCCTAAGACAGGTGCAACAGGTTGGTATGCAATGGTAAGAGAATTTTGGTAAAGTTTTTATGTCTTTGATAAAGGTATTATACATTAATAACCTTTCAGAAACAAACTTTTTCCTTATTCTCTATCATGTATGCTTTTGATGTTGATACCTGTATTGATTTTGAAATTGTGATTAGACAGGCAAAGCTTTGACTGTCCCCATAGTTTTATGCACCCCGCATAATTTAGCAAAATTGGATCATTTTTTTCATAATTTCTGATTATTTTCCTTTATCATTCTTTGTTAAAATTAACAGAATCGCATAAAATTTCACCTTTTTGGGCTCAGTTTGCATAATTTCAGAATTGTTCTTACATAAAACAATGGGGACAGCTTTGAGTTTAATAATTGTTAAAGGATGTTTTAAAATGTACCTATCAGGGCCAATATATTCTTCTTGTTATATGATTCCTTGGACAGGATTTTATTCATTCAGGGCTTTAGAATGGCAAAATGTAGCCTATTGAGACGATCTTCACTCTGATCAAATCATATCTTGCCTGATTAAGAATGTTCTGATCTTTCTGATTTTGCTGAGTACTTTGTTTCACCAAATTAAATTTGTTTTATACATTGCATGTTCTGCATTTTTATGGCAATAAGCAATTTAAGGACATTCCAGATGTTGTTTTTCTTGCTTTTTTACAAATCTTACCTGTATTTCCTTCTGTTTTTCTTATATCTCCTTGCTTTGAGTGAAATGAGTGAGATGTAATTTGGAAAGAAATTGTTTCTTTAGATTAAGTTTGCTCTTTACTTATTATACTTTACTTTATCCTTCCTTTTGTACCTCTAGGGCATCGAGGGGAGAAAGAGCTTAATTCTTTCTCTAGCAAGCTGGATGGCCTGTCTGGGTGGGATGTTGTGTGTTTTCAGGGTTTCCTTCACACCCACGATCAAGGTCTTCCTTGGTCTTCCTCTTGCCTTGTACCCTGATATTCTTTTGTAGTACGCTTTACTGGCAAGCTGGTGAGGTGCCATACGTGTCAGATGTCCAAACCACCTGATTGTTTGCCTCTAAGTGTAGTGGAGGACAGGTGCTGTTCTAATCATTTCTCTGATCCTGTTGTTTCTGATCATGTCCCATGGTTTTTTTACGGCTCTCCTTAGACCTCTCATCTCGCAGGAGGTTATCTTGCATTCCAGACTTTTGGTCAAGGTCTTTACTTTTCCGATCCAGATTTTGGTCAAGGTCCATGTCTGGCATTGGTAGGTCAAGATGGGGATTAAAAAAAGAGTTAATGAGCTTGGCTTTTCATATCACCAAATTAAATTGATATAACAACGCATTTTTATACATCTTTATTTCTCTTTTTACAGCTTTCATTGGATTTGAAGAACTATTGAATTCTCTCTCTCCTGAGCGCCGAGCATCATGGGAACGTCTTTGGATGGTTGGCAACAGTCGAGATGTAGTACATCCTCTGATATATTCACATCCTGTGACCAGGAAGCCGGTATGTCTAGTGGCTTGGGTTTTCACACTGCTTGTCAATGTAGGTAAACTAGCAATATTGTTTTAGTAATATTGTGTTTGCAAAGCGAATCTCAGTTGGATATCGGATAAGCAGGAAATTACAGCTTCAAAACGAAAGTAACCTTAATGTTTTCAGATTGCTTGAAATGATAAAGTCACTGTTTCCCCACCATTTCATCTGCATGTTATGTACTTCTTCAGACTTTCTGTTTTGTTTGCACCCTTCTTTTATTATAACAAAATGGGGCAATCTAAACTATTTTAAAAAATACACTCTCGGAAAAAGGGACACTTCAAAAAGTGACATTGTTTCCAATTTTTAGGGCATCCTCTTTATCATTGCTAAAAGGTTTTTAACCTTTTCCCTCTCCTTGTCTTTTCATCTGTCAGTAAAAATGAATCCCCCCCCCCCCCCTCAGTATGCAGAGATCCAATGGGGGTAAAAATGGGTTTAGCACTATTTCTTTCAGGAACAGGAAACAGCTGAATATGATTGTGGATATGCACAAAGACTTTGGGATAATACTTTTCTTTTACCCTTTTGTCTTGATGGTTTTTTGCTTCACACCATTGGGGAATCTTGTCATCAGCAATATATAAATAAGTGTTCCTCTAGGGACTACAAAGCTCAGAGACTGGAGCTGATCCCAGTTTTAATAGTAATACTAATAGTGTGGAGAAAAGCTTACGATTCTACATCTCTCAAGCAGATGGACACTCTTATGTTGTCATCTCTTCCAGCTTCTTCTTCAGTGTCCTAACTTGCTTCTTGGGGAAAAGGTGGCAGTTGTAGTGTAAACTTGCTATAAACTACAGATTAACAATGGTGCTGAAAATTACCTCTTTAATAGAGTTAGTCTAGTAGTCAGTATAGACTTATTTGCAACAGATGCAGATGCCGCTCTAGAACCTGCCGCAAGTCATTGTAAACTTTCTCTCAAGTTTGATGGCTTTATGACCACGAGGAGGATGAGTAGGCCACAGCCAGCAATATAAGCTCTTTTCTTTTCAATTTTTTTTTTTTTAATCTTCACAGGTGCTCTGTTTCCATTTGGGCATGATTGGTTGCTTCATCTGGAACTATGGATCAAAACATCAGAGAGTGACGGATAGAAAGGAGACAATAAAGATTTTACAAGAAATTCATGGAGAAATTGTGAAAGAGGATGAAAAGTTGGTGTACAAACATAATGTAAGTAGATCTCTATATAAAATTTTTTTTACCAGAAATAGCAGTAATTTAATTATATGTAAAAGATCACAAAATAGGACATGTAATATTCAGATCAACAGACTCGAAAAACAGATGTAACTCTTATAAGTTTTCGTTCTCTCAGCTGTTCCTTTATTAGAGTGACCTGGGTAAAATCGATTATGGCAGATTTCACGGTAAGGGCCTGGGAGACAGTTTGAAACTTTCATTTTGAATAAAAATTACCAAAAACATCATTTTGCTATTTGTTTTGTTTTATGTCATTGTTTGAACGATTATTAAACAGGAAAATCAAGAAAATGTGTTTGCTTTAATTGTTTATGGGTCAAATGTTACTTTAAAGGGCTTCAAACGCCAAGATCCGGTCCTACGGCAATTCCCAATTTTCACCATGTTCACAGCACGTTTGTATTTCATACGAAAATCTTGGAAATCGACAAATCCATGAGTGTATTATGAAATTAGAAACCACCAGTTGGCTAAAAAAACAAAAACAATGTTTTACGTGACTTTGATCGAATTTGCCAAGCCAGAAAAGTCAAGGTCATTTTTCAGCCTCGTAAGGCAGTACTTTTCCGCTGAAACAACAACACTTTTTGAACTTTCAAAGTGTTCAATCATACTTTTTTTTTTTTTGTATCAATAAAGTTGGCATTTAAATTTTAGTTTCAGAGGATATTTGTTAATCTTTCCGTAAAATTATCCGTCTTTAAAATTCCACTCTTTGTAAGACTTGCCGAATGGACGTTTGAAGTGGGCACTTTCCGTAGTTTTCCGACAAACGCTGACGACCTGATACGAAACTGAGGCTTTCTAATTCAGCGTCAGTAGCTGGTCTCTTGAACTGTGTTTATGTTTTCGCCCAAGGTAAGTGTTTTGCAATGTTTTTTACCCCTTTTTTTGGTAAGACTGCGACGACCGCGATTTGGCGACCGTGATATGAAAGCAAAAAACCCACTTCAGCTCCTGTTTTCTTGACAGTTGCAAGTAAATGATTATTTTTACGAGTGCAACATTGTATACCAGTTATCGATACATGACGCTAGCGGATTCGTTGGGCAGCATCATTGTCTCGACAGGACCTTCGGATGTTCAATTACGGTACTTTTTAGTGCGGTTGTCCCAAGCCCAGTCTTACCATACATCCCGGTCGTCCCAAAGGGAGTCTTATAATTGCGCTGTCATTTTGTTTGGACAAGAAGATGGTGATTTGGAATTATATTTTATGGCATTTTTATTTTCTAAAATCTTTAATAATGTGGTTTAGTGTTATTGATTCCACGGAAATTAATTCCAAGTTGATTTAAATCTATTTTGTCTAAATCTAGTTCATATTTAGATAGATCTGGATCAAGTAGTGATGGGCAGAAAACGATAATTCATGATAATCCATTGCTTTACTTGGTACTTATTTCAAATATATCCCATTATATTTGCTGCACTGTCCATTTTAGATGCCTTCCAATTCCACCCAACTTCGCCATAAATGGAAAGCTGAGGAGCCTGAGAAGTATGCAGCTCATCTTGAGAAGGAAAGACTGAGATTCAAAGTGAGACAAGATGCGAAGAAGGCTAAATGGGAGACTGAGCCCCACACAAGAGCTATGATGGCTGAAAAGGAGAAGGAAAGGGAGCAGAGAAGGTTTGTTTGTGTGCACAAGACATAATTAGCAACTCATTTAAATCTACTTTGTGAATTTTTAGCTGGAGCAGATTTTTCTACAGCCAGTGGCAAACATTAAACAACTCAATTCCAGCACCCTTTTTCATTCACAGGTGATGATGTAAAATGTTTTTGTTTTTTCAGCAGACACATGGACAAACAATTTAATTTGTATATTTGTATTGTTGGTCACTATTTTCACACACCAGTACCATTTTGTCGTCTCAAGGATTCGAATGAAGAAAATGGCATAGAGGAGAAGAGCTGAAGAAAAGAGGGAGCTCCGCCGTGACTGCAACAGCTCAGTGGATGAGGACAAGCCTAGCCCAGAGCAAAGAAGAAACCAAAGGACATGACTGAAGAGGAGAGACGAGCCCATGTTAATGAACTCAGGCACCAATCCAGAGCTCGTCAGAACCCCCAGAAGAAAAGATGGGCCAGAGTAAAAAATGCCAATTATCAGAAGCAGTACCGAGAAAGGCAAAAGGCTTCGTCACTACCACAGCCTGCTACCACTGCTCCAGTGGCCCAGCCTCAACCAGCCCCAGTGTTTGCCTCGCCCCCACCTTCCACCACAGCCCCAGTGTTTGCCTCGCCCTGCCTCGGTGTTTGCCTCGCCCCAGCTTGGCCCGGCCCGGGTGTTCGCCTCGCCCCAGCCTTTGCCCCCAGCAGTGTGTTCCTCCCCCCATCTATCTTTGTCCTGTCACTGCCCCAGTATTTGCCTCCTCACTCCTCAACGCTCTGAACTTGTGAACACCAGTCCCCAGACAGTCCCCGCTTCTTATAGAAAGGCCAGTTGCACCGCCCTCAACTGCTACTCCCATAAGGGCTGGCAAAACAATGAAAAACATACCATCGGGAATTAAGTCAGACATCAAGAGGAAATTAAGAACCTCTGGGGAGTATGCCGATGTTGTGCGACACCTGGCGACTCCCTGGACACCGGAAAAAAGGAGGGCCCTACTTGCTGTAGGGGTACAGCAGCACCTCGGTAGGCCCTTACAACCTGTGCCTCAGCAGAAGGTACAGCCCAGTTGAGGGAAGCGTACACCATCTCTGGTTCAAACTCGAGCTTTCTGTGATGTGCAGGTAACGACTTTCAGTATTTCTTTTAACCTTTTCATTCGTACGTATTTATGAAAGTTATTACTACCAATCTAAGTGGGGTCCTACTTTTGTGTGTCTAGGTATTTTTTTTTCTGCCCATTCATTGATGGGGATCCAGCAACACTTTTGTGAAATGACCTTTGATGTTTTGAAAAGCATTTCAGTATTTGAAGACAAAACTTGATTGTCACATACAATGCACTTCACTTTGAATGAAGTTTTCAAATGGAATTTTGTCATCAATAATAATTTCAATGGATTGTCCATTGCTAAAATATTCCTTTCATAATTTATCCGCAGGCTTTCTATCTGCGGCAGGATGTGGCCAGAGTTTTGCCTCATAAGAGGTATGCCATGAAGGCTGGCCCAGGGCGCATCATGCTGATGACACTAAAAAGAGGCCTTCATTTTGTTCAAGGTACATATGTTAAGAAACCTCTCTACATTTGATCTTCTTCTTTATTAGCTATTGGTAATTATTTCAGAAGGCAGGCATTTCCAAACAAAAACTTTTGGTCTCTTACATCAAATCAAGAATTCATATTGTCTATATTATGTGAAAACATTTTTTTCAAGTAATAATGCCATGTTATTATTTTGATTTCCTTTCAGAAGGAGAATCCAGATGCCGCAATTGGCGTTACCAAGTTTACTACCCTCCGCCCAAAGACAGTCCGACTGATTGGGCAAGGAACACCGGAGACATGTGCATGCATGTACTGCCTCAATGTCCGGCTGAAAATAGAGGTCCTCAATCGAGTGATGGCTCGCAATCTAGAAGATTTCCGGATGCCGCCTGAAACTCGATTGTTGGACCTTCTATTGTGTGCTAAGGAAGCAGGCAGTGACTGGCACCACCCTGCTTGCCAAGAAGGTATGTTTTGTTGTGTCATTCATTGTTACTCTTATTCACCTGTTAGACAAGAATTTTAACAAAGGATATTTTTAACTGCCTATTAATCTATTTTACAATTTTGGTTACAGGTAAATGCAGTAAGTGCCAGGATCCCTCAAACTTCCTGCAAGGACAGTTTGGCCGTTATGGGGCCACCATCACTCCCTGGCAGCATTGGGAGTGAATCTCAAAGGAGGGGAGGATGAGGCTTGAACTTTTGTCCAAGCAAGGGACTCTTAGAGTAAGTTTCTTATGAGCTGAATTATTTTTTAGCCCAATTTTCCACGTCCTGTTTTATTTATTAATTGTAGAAAGCACTGAAGTATTATGAAAAGTTTTGATACTTTAAAGATATTTGCCGGTAACCATGGTTATGTTCAACCTCTATAATTTCTTGTTTGGACCTTCAGCTGAGATGTAAAACCACTTTCTAGGAAGGGTGGAAAATAAAATACACACTCCCTTTAATTTTGAAAATGACATGAAATTGAAATAGTATAATGTTCTCTCCCACAGCACTGAAAGCAGTATTAACTTAGCTTGATTGATGGTTTATTATTTCAACCATATTCCACTTTCTTTGACAGGGAACTCCTGGAGGAATTTATTAGAAAGGACATCCTCCAGCCATCCCAGGGAAACACCTTTGTGCGCCACCTCCACACCTTCTTTTGGCAGTACCACCAGTACTGCCATCTGAAGGACACCCTTCAGGCAGACGAAGCAATCAGGGTGATGGACTTATCCGAAAATAGGAAAGCCTCATATACCGTTGAGGTGAAGAGTGCCCATTTTGGCAAGTCTCAGATCACCATGCATCCCATCGTCTGCTTCTACCGAAGTGGTGAAGGACTAGTGAGGCACAGCATGGTTTTCATGTCAGACGATATATGTCATGATTATCATGCTGTGCACCATTTCACTGTGATGTCCTTAGAGGCTTTGGCCAAGACATCACCCACTGTACAAGAAATGCACATATTCAGTGATGGCTGTGCTGGCCAGTACAAAGGAAAGGGAACCTTTGCTAACCTTAGCCTGTACACTGGTAAGAAAATATTTTGATCGGTTGTGTGCTCTTATCCCGCTCTTTGTCTTTTCTATGTTGTTGGCTTTTTTTTTTCACTATAAAATTATGCCCTTTTTGTTAATAAGTACCCACATCTCGCATACATGAATTATGATGTACTCTGTGCCCCTAATTCATCACAACATTGAGATACTTCAGATACAGTTCTACTGTTTTCCCTTCTCAGGCCAAAAGATACAACATGTTTTCTTTGGGTCGGAGCATGGGAAGGGGGAGGCTGACAGTGAGACTGGAGTCATCAACCAGGCTGTGGACCGGGCGGTAACCTCAGGGAAGCTCACCGTCAAGGATGCTGGAGACCTCTTTGCCTGGTGTGACAGAGAGCTGGTCAGATCTCTGGACGGTTTCCGACGGTAATTCTTCCTGGTTGGAAAAAATGAAATCCCAAGGGACCGTCCAGAGACTGATGTGATCACCATCCCTGGGACCCGGAGGATCCACCAGGCGGAGAGGATCATCAATTATAATATAAGGACCAGGATGCTGGCATGCTTCTTTCCTGCCTGGCGGAGGGATGAAGGTGGGTGCCACAAGCAGGCATATGTCGGCACCCACATCATCCACAAGATCCGACCAAGGTGAGGGATAATTTTTTTCCTATAAAACTGATGATAATAATCATTTGTACCTCTACTGATGTTTGCATAAACTCATTGATATTTACATGTGTGTGTGTAGTGTATGTGTGATGTAAAGCAACTTTTTGTATTTTTCTTTTATGAAACAGCCACCCCAGTGTCCTTGACGAGGCATTTTTGGAAGACCCAGAACCTTCTACCTCCCTGCACGAGGAAACCGAGTTCACCACCTTAGATCGAACTGAGCCAAGGATTGGAGACTTCGTTTCTATTATGTACACAGTTGGAAGGAAGCAACTCATGTACAATGCTGTTGTAAGTTTTTCTTTTCTTTGCCTATCATCTTTCATTTGATTTTTCTCCTTGTATGTTTCTCTACCATGTTTCATTTGGTTTTTGTCCGAACATTAATTTCTCTACCATGTTAAATTTAATTTTTCAGCTGGACTTAACTCTACCATATTTCATTTGGTTTTGTTTTTTTCAGTTCAACATTTCTCTACCATGTTTTAATTGTACCTTTTTCAGTTGATATTTTTTTTCTGTTTCATTGGGGGTTTTTTGTTTTGTTTCAGCTTGACATTTGTTTACCATGTTTCATTTTTGTTTTTGTTTTTTCAGTTCAACACTTTTTTGCCATGTTTTGTTTGTTGTTGTTTTTTTCAGTTCAATATTTCTATACGTTTCCCTTTTTTTGTGGGCGGATATTTCTCTGCTTGTTTCATTTTATGTAATCCTCTAAACAGCTATAATAATAAATGTTTTATCCTTGGAAATTGGTGTTAAAATCCATTCTATACCTATTTTATCGTATGGAGACAGCTGGTGATTTAAAATTTAGTCTTCATAAAAGAATAGATTTCAAAAGTTCCAATTTCTATTAAAATCTTTTTATATGGGTAGATCTCTATAATTCTTTCCATTTCTTTTTTGCAGGTCACTCCACCACAAGAGGCTCCAGGAGATGGAGAGCTCCTTGTTTCCTTCATGAGGAAAGGGGTTTCTTTCATTTTCCCTCATGTCCCGGAAATATGTGTCATTCACCCCGAAGAGGTTGTGGTCCTCCACCTTCCAACTATAGACAATCGGGGGAGACATTTTTTAAATTAATTTTTTTTTAAATGTTTTTTGTTGTTTTATTTGGTGGGGAGAGGAGTAGTAATTGAAAACGGCAATACAAAATTTTTTCAACTGTGGCTGTGTGTTCATGGATTGTGGTGTTTTTTCTGAAACATACGATTATATTGGATGTTGTGGAAATTCTGAAGTGAGGTTGCTTTTTTGTTGATATTTTTTTTCCTGAATCTTCGCTGACTCTTTAGTTCACATATTTGAATTCCCTTTTTAAAGAGCTTTAATTTGATATATGATACATCTGTCTGGACAAAGATGGAAAAAATCAAAAAAATTTTGAAAAGTGGGAAATCTGTGGGACCTTACCATGAAATCCGCCTTCTGCTCTTCTGTTTGTTTAGTCGATGTGTTCATATTTTCAGCTTCATTCCATTCCCACCCAAATCGTTGTTTTGGGAGGTTTCCAGATAAAACTGTTAGTCTGGAAAAGATGTCAAGGGGTAACCTTCAATATGCTTTCGTTTTGGTTATTTCTTTCTTTGATTTTAATTGAAAAATAATGAGCGCCTAAGTCATGGTTTTAATTTGGGCCCTCTCTTTTTCTTTAGTTTTCTCAAAACTTACAAAAATGACCTAATTGGTGCTTGTAGAATGACGCTGACTGATAATATCAAATTCTGTTGTTGTAGGCTATTATAAAAAGAACCATCAATCAAGATGGATCAGGTTTTTGTTTTTGTTTTTTTAAGTGTTTTTAAAAAACAATCTATGCAAGCTGTAATGTGATGTTTGTATATATGTTTTGTATTCAATTTAACACAATCTAACTATTTAGTGTGAAAACATGATTTAAATCAATGGGTTAGGACCTTCAGTAAAATTTGTTTTAAAAAAATGTATTTCAAAGTATCAGTTTGGTATTTAGAGGTTGTGCATGAAATATTTTAAAATCAGTATCAAATGAACTAATTATAAGATCATATAGCGAGAGACGTAAATTAGCAGTCAATTCCTCTTTTTTTTATTTTACCAGTGGGAACCGGGCGACTTTATCATCTCCGACAATCGAGCTGTGGGCCATGAAGCCACCCCTGAGACTCAGTTCCCAGTGTCTGATGTTGGCCTGAGAGTTCTGCACAGAACCACACTGGCTGGGACAAGTAAACCCAAGAAATGAATCCCAGCTGCTTTAATTTTAATATTTCAGTGTTGTCATACTTTACTTTACTTTTCCGATCTAGCGGCCATTTGGGTTCTAGCCCTTCGGTCTGTCAATGTTGTCATCAAAGTTTACATTTTGCTATGGTGTTGCCTTCACATAATATATGGAGCTTGATCCCTGTGGGATCATCATTTTTATTGCTGCTAATTTGGTTTTTAAAAGCAAGAGACTTGGGTATAATAGTTTGATTGGTACATTAATAAAATTGGTCTATGTCTCTGCATCTAGGGCTTTGTCAGAAACAAAACAAATATTTTATCACCGTCATCATCATCACCATCGTCATCGGCACACGCCCACATTATAACTTTAAAGTTTTCCCAGTACTGTGGTTTCTTAGATAATAGGGAATAAGAATCAGAGATACACTCCCAACATTTCCCTCAAGATGTCATAACATTGTCTCAAAGAAGTGAAATCAAAGTATGCCCTACTTCTCAGTGGAACACAAATAATGTGGGAATTCAAATTATAGCTTTGTTCTTGATGGAAATTGCATGAAGTAAGTATTAATCAAAGGATGTTACATTCTATTCGAACTCATTTTTTTTGTCCAAATTAATCGTACCGTTCATACAGATGGTGTGATTCAGGAGAGTTATAAAAGATTATTTTCTTTAGGATAAGTGCCAGTACCAATGGCATAGTCTCAATGGAGTGGGGATATCATTGCAATTTAGCCTGACACACCTTATTTTTATGACAGCCCGACAGAATATACTTGCGTATGTTTTAGTTATTTTAGCTTGGTTTTGTGCTTCCTAAAACAATAGAATACACTAGCAATTAATTTCATGGTTCACAAGAATATAATTTTTTTTTTAAAGTTTTGATGTACAGTACATCATGTACTATCAAAAGCACAGCTGTGATGTAGCCTCCGTAGACCTGTTCCCTGTTGCTTGCCAAATTTGGTTTTGAACACACTTTTGCACTTTTGTGTAGTCAGAGGGAACATACATGGTATTTTGGTAACCCCTGATGTAAACACAGTCAAACCTGTCTGAGAAGACGACCAATTGTGGAGGAGAAAAGTGATCATCATAGACAGATGGTCCTCTGGGACGTTATCATTGTAATATAAAATTGCAAGGGGGGGGGGGGGATCGTTTGTTCAGGTGATTGTCTTGACTCATGTGCAGTTACAAATGCTATAACCCAGTGCCCATGTAACCCCCCCTACCCCCATCCCTTCCCCCGCACTTGTGTTCAAAGATACTATTTTACTGGATAAGTAATCACCTTCCCATATTTTGGGAGCAGTCACTTTCTGCCTTGTACCTGAGTAAGATTTCAGTGCAGTCATTCTGCCAAAGATCATGAAAATATGTTTATAATTTTCACAATGCTGTGATTTCTAACCTTTTCTTGCCATTTGAGTAAAGGTTGCAAAACAAATCTTGCTTTGAGTTACTTTTTTGTTTTTGTTTGTTTTGTAATTCTGTCACTTTAGTTTTAAAATTGGGAAAAAGCTTTTACAAATTGATGTTGTCCACTTTATAAGGCATCTTTATAAGATCCTGTGTGTATTTTCAGATTATGGTACTTAAACTTTTTTATTGAAAAGCTTTGTTTTTCAAAATATCTATGACCATTGATGTTACATGAAAAAAAACATGCAGGTGGTTGTATGGTCCTCTGGTAGGTCCTACTTCTTTATTTTCCCATCTGTTGTTTCTGTCTGTTTGCCTTGCTCTTTCCCAGAACACTAAATGACCATTCATACTGTGTCAGTGTGCTTTTCTTTACCCAAACAAAACAAAATATAGAAAACCAAAGTCCTTTTTTTTTTTAAAGTCCACACTGAATGGTTGTGTGATGTACTAGTATCAGTATTATCATTCCTGGTCGTTTTTTGTGGGAGTGGGTGGTTGGTGGGTGCTCTGGTGCTCCTTCTTTCCTATCAAACATCTATCGTCCTTATCTCCCCTCCTTCTATCTTGTGTTTGTTTCTCTCTTGTAACACCTCTAATCTTCGGCACTTATGTAACCTTATTGTGTTGCAAGTGCCGTAAAACTCTTACGAAACTAAACTTTTTGTTAGAAACATTTTAAAGTAGGTCAGTGGACTGCATTAGATCGTTTGAAAATGCTGCATGGTGCAGGGCTTCAGTTACATTAACTTTGTACCGGTGTAGTATATATATTATACATTGTATTTATAATAGTGAGGGTTAATGTAATGGTCATAATTTGAAATAAGACTGTACTCATCGTCACAACAATCAGCTGTGTATGAACATACTGGTTTCAATCCACATTCCTCTTCCCTCTTCTTCCAACCATACCATGGTACCAACAAACTCCGTGAGTCATTCATTATATTATTGGAATTAGTATGATTTATTGTAATGGTCAAAACATAAAATGATGACACATAATTGTTTGGTCATCATCACCTTAATGAATCAGTGCGCCGAGGTAGTTGGTCCATGTATTTTTCCTTTGTTACCAGCCATACCGCCAGGTCTAGAGAAACAAGAAAACCGCAGTTTAAACCAACCCCAAGATTCGTTCATTGAAAGTTAAAATGTAACTCTTACTTCAGGTAACTTTCAAAGGCGATCATTACTTCCACGTCCATGGTTGATTGTAGTACATATTGTAGAGATCATAGAGCACCTTTCTTCTCTCAAACTACAATAGATCAAAGCCCCAGTGGAAACCATTATCTTGGCGTCTGTGGTGTAACCAAAGATTCTCAACTTTGATGAAACAACAGTTAGTTGTAGTGGCGTCAGTGGCTTAGTGGTAAGGCTTTCGGAATTGCAACCGTAAGGTCGGGGGTTCGAATTCCATCTGGGGCCCAATGTTGTGTCCTTGGGAAAGACAGTCTAACGAATTTTACTCATTTCACCCAGGTGGAAATGAGTAGGCCTACTCGGCCAAAGACAGTTAAAGAACTTGTCAGTGTGATGGTGTTTGAACGCGTGAAATCTGCAGCTTCCACTGTATGCTTCTCGAGAAGCCAAGAAAAATGTTTCTGAGTGTTTTCAGAAGGTCTGCTGGAGTATTGTTAGTTAAGTGCATAATATAGCAAGCTGCAGAGCATGGATGCGCTATGATTTTTATACCGTCCGTTTTTATAAATGTGAGTATTATGTAGCCTACGCCAAATAATATGTGAGCTTGATTCCCGGTATGGGAATTTTAATTTCGATCTTTATTTTTTTTATCAAGTTTCTTCATCTGCCTACTGGGGTGTTGTATCCCACTTAATATTAAGGCCTCGTAATATTAATGATATCCCCTGACTCCTCTGTGGTTGACTGTGGTGAGTGACAGGCAGGGCTGAAGGTGCCCGCCTTGTAAATGATCTGATTTGCGCCGATGGGGGCTTAAAACACTGACGTAAAGATGACATACCATCACCTCTTACACACACTTGCACTCCCCCCCCCCTCTCTGTCTCTCTGTCTCTCTCTCTGTCTCTCTGTCTCTCTCTCTCTCTCTCTCTCTCTCTCTCTCTCTCTCTCTCTCTCTCTCTCTCTCTCTCTGTGTGTGTGTGTGTTTTTTTTTGCGTCAGTAATCTAGTGGTTTGGCAAATCGACTCGTGTAATTGTCAGTTTCAGGGGTTCTCGATTGTAATAGAGTTGCACCGTCAAGTGGCACGGTTTCAAACTTCTCCATAGGCCACAATGATGATGGGAAATCAACTACCACACATATTATTAGTAATACATGCATTAGTAGGCTACATGTAATGTCTTGACAAGCCACAGGCGTCTAGCTCAACCACCTTTTAATGTACAAGAAGAGTAAGTCTATGTGTTTTATGCCCCCATCGACACAGTTCAGATAGTCTGAGACGTGGACCCATGCGGGCTGCTTCATGGAAAGAACAAGAAGAGTAAGTCTTTACGTTTTATGATGCCTCCATCGACACAATGTAGATAGTCCTGCCAGCCACCGACCACCCAGGGCTGAGTGGGAGTGAAAAATATACCAGTCCCAGCAGGCAGATTGCCAGATCCTCGATTTTTTTTTTTTTAAAGATACCTCCCTACTCTGGAATGAAACTCGTATTTTCTGTGGAGGTTAACTGCTATACCATAGATGTCAGTGCGTCATACAATGTTATGTGGTCGGTGCATGCATGGAGTTCTTGCAGCATTGGGCTCGAGCACAGTGTTTTCAGGGGTAATCATAATATTGCCACATCGCGTAAAAGTGAAATATCATCATCATCATCATTTATTGCCTGTTTCACCCTGTTATTGGGTGTACGCCGCCAAAAAATCCCTCCACTTGTCACTGTTCAGGGCGATCTCAGACGTGGAATGTAATAATTATTACAACATCTGTGTGTTGTTCCGTGAACTCGTTTGTTTCCAACGTGTAAACCGCCAAGTCACCCCGAAGTCTACTTCATTCTGATAGTTCACCCAAAGTGAGTTGTTGTTGGGTTTTTTTGCGAACTACGAGATGCATGTGTGCGTCTCAGATGCTTGTCTCTGCTAAAGAAAACATACAAGTCTGCCAATGGGCACACTAAGCAATGAAATGAGGTGACCGTTCCGTTTTAAAGTTAAGCGGAATAACTGGCTTCGTATATCAAGCATGTGAATCAGATAAACGAAGCTCGAACTCCAGACTCGAATTCCTCGTTTTACCAACTTGGTAAAGTCTATTCGCTGACTTGAGGATCCTTTGACCGACGGCGTTTGGATACGTGTTGTTGTGGCGACGTGCTCTGTACTGTTGGTTTTTTGGCGGCGTTTTTCCTAGGGGGTTTTTTCTCAGCAGTCACCGCATTGGCTTCCTTCTTTGTTATTATATCTGGGAAATGACTGGCCACCTGAGGCTTGGGCTCGGAGCCGTGCTGTAGCCAGGATTTGACAAAGTCGTGTGACGTCATTTCCTTAGGAAGAATAGGTCTTGCGTACTTTTGGGCTTTGCCCGCTTGGACATCTCTTTGAAATGTCAGGTCTCGTTCCATCTGATGACAAAAACAAACAACAATGAATGTTACTCTACTTTGTATGTTTGTAGGTTTAAAAGTTCACACATAGTAGGTGATAACAGGCGACTGTTGCGTAACTGCTCTCACATGCAGAAGACATGGGTTCAATTCTCCCTGCAGTAAGTTATTTTATCGAGTATCTCCGTCCGTCTTAGGATATTGTATCCCAATGTTACGCATCCAGAATTGGCCCCTTTAAAAATGATCGACATAGCTCGCCTCTTAAATAATTGTAATTGTGTCGAGGTGGAAAGGAGGGGGGGTGGCAATATAATCACAGTTATAGTCACACAAAACAGTATAGAGAGAGTTGCAATGGCAATGCTAAATTCACAAGTGGTTTGCGTATATGTGTGTGAATGTGAGTACCTTGTCTACAAATGTGCTTGTGTGCTCACGCACACATGAGTTTGTGTGTGTGTGTGTGTGTGTGTGTGTGTGTGTGTGTGTGTGTGTGTGTGTGTGTGTGTGTGTGTGTGTGTTCACGCGCGCGCCCGCAAGGAGCATCCTCCATTTGTGTTGTACGACGAGGGAGGTTCAAGAAGTCTTTGATTTAAATATGAAGGAAAAAAGATAGAGCTTTGTAACTTGGCACACATACTATCATTTCTCTACATAGTCACAATTCAGAGTAACACATTTCGGTCGCCTTTCTTTGACCTTCAAAAGTCCTTGAGGAAAAAAATGACCCAGAATGGGCCCCTAACGCAGTCTTCCACAGCTTCAATTGTGTCCTCGTTGTCATGGAAACGACTTCCTTTCATTGATTTTTTAAAGATTAGGAAACAGAACAAAGTATGAAGGGGCTCGGTCTGATGAATAAGCTGGGTGTGGCAAGATTTCAAAGCCGCACTGTTCTGCTGTGTGGACTGATTGTTGTGCCCTGTGTGCACGGGCGTTGTCATGCAGTAGGAGGACTCCATGACGGAGGTTTCCACGCCTTTTTCCTCACCAATTCGTAGCGCAATTTTATTAGCAAACCCGAATAGTAGTCCCCTGTGACTGCTTTTCCATTTCCCAGGTAGTCAATCATGATGATACCTTCACAATCCCAGAAACACAACAGCATGACCTTTCCACTTGACGGTGTTACCTTTGCCTTCTTTGGTGAGTCAGAAGAAGAAGTTTTCCATTGCTTGGACTTGGAGGACACTAAAAAAAAATTTTGTTCTGGATCAAAATGATAAATCCATGTTTCATCCATAGTCACTATGTTTTCAAAGAAATTTGTGTCATAGGACTCAATTCGAAGGAGAATTTTGCAGGACTCAATCCTCTGCTTCTTTTGCTCACTTGTCAAAAGGCGTGGTGCACACCGCCAAGACACCTTATTCATGTTAAGATGCGCATGGAGAATCGTTTTCATTGACCCTACACTAATTCCTGTTTCATTTGAGAGATGTTTAACAGATATACGTCGGTCTTGTAAAACCAGTTTCTTCACTATGGATACATTCTCTGCAGTAAACACAAAGGATGGGCGCCCTTCACGGTCTTCATCCATCCCCGACATGAATCCAGATTTGAATTTTCTTACCCAGTATGTTATAGTATTATAACGAGGACATTTGGCACGGGAGGAGTTCCGCAGAGGGCCGGCACTTACCGTGACAAGGTCCTCTGGGCTGACTGAGCAATCTATACAGGAGTTAGGGGTAGGGTGTGGGTTAGGGTTAAGGTTAGGGTATATCCCGCTCAAAATATCCCCTCTTATGTGTGTCGTTGTTTGGCCGGCTCTCTGCGGAACACCTTCCTTTGTCACCATAAACTTGGCCCATTTCCTGAAAAATATCCAAAGGGGGTTTTCCTTGCAAGTGTAAAAATTAAAAACTTGATGACTGAGTATTCAACAGGCTCCATGGCTGGCACAGCTTCAGCAAAGAAAAACCAAACGTTTATGTGTATGGTTTCGTTGAACACGCTGACTACATATAAGTGCCGTATTATTTTCGGATTTCCCTGCAAATTTGCAAGGCGTGTTCCAAAGAAATTGTCTAAAAGCTGCCGAAATTTCATTATTCTACCATGATTCCTTCATACCCAGACCAAAAACTTATTGAACCCCCCTCATATGTAAGTCTGAGGTTTGGAGAGTGAGAGAGAGGGGGGGGGGTAGAAAGAGAAAGACAGACAGACTGACAGACAAACAGACAGACAGAAGGAGCAACTTAAAGGCCACATAATTTTGCCAAAACAGATAAAAGCAGAGAGAAAGAAAATAATAATATCACAACGGAATGGTACCCCAAAAAATGACGACAAAAACTCATAATAGCAAGAAGTACATGTACTAATACATCTCCGCCGGGATCTGAGATATGAGTTAGAGAGAATCCTCTTAAATCTCAGCGGCCAACAGAATCAGGCCCAGTGGTTGTCGAAATGATCCAGACGGTGGTAAAGAAAAGCAAAAGCGATCGCAGCATAATCTGCAGCTTACAAGAGTCTGCGCAGAAAAAAACCCCACTCAGACCGGAAACAAGCTTTTTTGTTGGTTTGTTTGTTTGTTTGGTCTCACTTTTTTGCAATCGTTATTCAACGAAGTATGGTTCTAACTGTCTTTTGGGCTTGATATTTTCTTTTCGGTTACAATCTGTTGTTATACGGTACATTGGTTTTGTTGAAATCAAAAGGTCTGCCAAGATACGCATCGCTACGTTTGTCGTTTGAAAGTCAGGAAGTTTGGTCATTGGACAACAGCACGCCAGTGAGTTCGACAACCACGAGTATTATCGTGTGTACACCACATAAAGGCACTTAAAACACTTAAGGAGATATAAATAGCAAACGTCCAGTCATGCAAGTTTGATATAAACCCGCTTTGTATCGATCATAACACAATCGATATCCCAGCAGAACTGAAGGGTCCAGCAGGCTAGCTAGCGTGTACATGGCACTTCCGGAAAATTCTATGAGTCTGGTCCTACATCGTTATTATTCTTTTTTTGCAGTGCTATGGCGACATAGCAAATAGAGGCTACGAGCAACTAATAGTGTTTTTACTGTACATGTTTTCCCTGAACGTGTGGTTGGGTCCGAAATGCACACCACAAAAGTCTATTCAGGGGAAAGTCTATATTTGTGTTGCAAAATGTGGGCTTGGCGGGCCCACACTTATACACTGTCAAGACATTAAAATGTGGACATTTGAGTATCCGGTACGTTATGACACTAAAATGTGGACATTTGATTATCGGGTACCCCAAAATAGCTGCACCAATAGCTCTGTTGGTAGGCTGAACTCTGCACCATGGCACTGGTTCGGAACCCCAAAGTTACGTTCTCGAGTTCGTTTTTTTTTTGTTTTTTGTTTATGGGGAGTTTCCAAAGTTGTCATCCTTCTTGATTCCGTTATATCGGAGATAGACGTTAAATTCGGGGGTTTTCAATAGCCTCAATAGCACAAACCCTGCCATATTTAGGAAAAGATTGGGTGAAAGGGGAGGACCGAGGGAAGGAAAGGGGGGGGGGTTGCATATAATATTCTGACGCCCATTCAAATGAAAAACGTAGGCTTACTGAACAAAACTGGTAATGCAATTCTGTCAGTCTTTAACGCCAAAACATCATGAAAACAGACAATTTTCAAGTTTAAGAAGACTTACTTTTAAAGACCAACATCACATGTAGCATGTTATCATGAAATAGAAAGATGTATGCTGCCCCCCACCTGTTTCTGTTTGTTTATCTTGCTTTTTCACAGCACTAAAGTTTAATGTCCATTACGTTGTCAACGGCCTTCTCTATGTTCAAACAAAAAGGGAAAAAACGGTTAAAACAACTTTCACTACACCCCCCCCTCCCCGCCCTCCTAGTTAGATAAGAAGAGATTTTACAATAAATATGTACTAAATAAAATAATTAAATTTTAACAATGAATACAGTCGAACCTGTGTAAGACGGAATCGCAAGGGAGCCAGAAAAAATATCCGTTTTAGACAGTTACCGTCTAAGTTTCAGAAGGGGGTTTTCAGAGGCACAACCGTTGGGATCAAGGGTCATTTGTCCGGTCGGAAATCAGTGGTGAAAACTTCACACCTCTCAAGTGCTATCCTCTCTGATAATGCATGCGTCACCTTATCTTTTCCTACTTATCCTTTGCCACCAGTGCTTGCATTTTATAGGACCACTGTTTGACATATTAAAACAGAAACGTCGGAACATCTCCTTTGCCCCACCCACCGGTGTAAAAAGCACAGTCAACCAATGCCAACCCTCCCATGCACGTAACAATGATTCGAAGAACTTCTTTTTCCGCTGCACGAAAGACCGTGCAATCATGGCGGCAGGCATTGGTCAAACTAACTTCACACTTCTGGCTACCCTTGAAAGTTTCTGTGCTGGAGCGTCACTCGAGCACTTTCACAGACACTGGTGAGATTTCACATCCACACCACCCTGACCATCTGCACCAACGCCTGCTCTGTGTTCGAGTAGGCGTTGATACCAGTCTCGTAAACTACTGACAAACAAGAGGTGTCGCCGTGAGCGGTAAATGCAATTAAGTGGTAATCGGATACCCGGTACCAAACGAACACACGTAGGCCAGTGCTTTGCGAGGCAGAAAGATACGACTTAAGAGAGGGAGGCATCTGATTCTGCTACCTATGGGCCTGGACAGTGGACCCCTATCTCTTGAGGGCTTGTTGTAGTCGGCGGGGTGGCATGTTAGTATAAGAACCAAGGAGTTTCTAAACTCCTTGGTAAGAACGTATAGGCTCACAAGGATAGGGTAACATCAAGGGGCAATATCTACCCTCAAATTGCGCCCGGGGCTACTCCTCCCCTTCCTCGCCTGGCGGGTAAAAGTTAGAGCCTACACACGTTCTTACTCTGAGCGTCTAGGTTAGGACCGATGAAACCAAACTTGGTACTTTTGTTTCAAATTGAAGCTGGGTGTGCAAAGCATTTTCCGTCTTAGACAGGTAAAAACGTTCCGAAAGGAAAGAATTTCTCACTCCGTTTCCTCGTTAGACAGGTTTCCTTTTTATAGAAGTAATTATTATACATGTACATGTAGAGGCATTTATCAAGAGGGGAGCGTGGAGATTCCGTTGTGGCAAGTTTCCATTTTATACAGGTTTCCGTTAAGGCAGGTTCGACTGAAAAATATATCTGTTTTAGACATGTTCCGTCTCAGAAGGGGGTTTTCAGAGATCCAAGTATAGGTATAATATTTAAATTATATTTTACTTGTATCAAATTACGACAAGGGGCAATCACCTGGACAGCGGACTCCATGTTCACGTGACTGGAGGCCGAGCGAGGCGAGCCCCTGGAGTGAGTCCGATGTGTGGTCTGTCCCCCGTGGCAGTTGGTTGAGTAGAGAAGGTCATTGCGGGCGTCCGAGCGCTGGTGCTGCAGCTGTTGGTGCAGAGAGACGCCCAGTTGCTGCTGGTTACGACTGTAGATCGGACATGGGCTGGATCTGGTCGTGGTGTGGGCAGAGAAGTGAGAGAAGGGTTTTGTTAATGTAAAGACAGGGTTTTGGGTCAATTTGTTTGAAGGTGTAAAGCTGTCCCTGGGGTTTTATGCACCCCGCAAAATTTAGCAAAATTTGATCATTTTTTGCATAATTTCTTATTATTTTCCTTTATTATTTTTTTGTTAAAATTAACAGAATCGCATAATTTCACATGTTTGGGCTCAGTTTGCTTAACTTCATAATTTTTTATTTTTTTTTTGTGCATAAAACCGCGGGGACACGTAAAGAGAAGTAAATTGACACGATAACGGTCATTTAGTGCAGGAAAAGAGTAAGACAGGAAAAGAAAAAAAAGAAGAAAAAACATAGAGAGTGAAAAGAAGTAGGATCCCAGGCTTGATTTGGTCTAGGTCAGCCGGTGTAGGCAGAATAAAGAAGTGTTTCGTACATGTATGAGTTTGTTTGAGTAAAGTGAAGCACTCACATAGACACAATAACGGTTAATTAGTGCGCTAAACGGGGGGACGGGGGGAGGGCAAGATAGACAAGAACAAAAGAGGGATAGAAAAGAAGTAGGATCTGCCCGGCTAGATCCGGTCTCAGTGCGGGCTGAGTTGAAACGAAAGTGACGCACATAGACGCGATAACGGTCATTTAGAGCAGGGGGTAACAAAAAACCAAGTCTGACAAAAACGACGGAAGGAGAGAAAAAAAAGT